AAGGTTCGCCATCACTGCTCTAGGCTGCACTCAGGCTGTGTGAGGAAAGTTTAGGCATTTGCCCAGGATCACAAAACACACGTTGTCCTGGGCTTTGAACCCTGGGCGGTCCGGCTTTAGTGTCGTGCAGCCCATCCGAAGGAATTCTCCCCAGTTCTGGGTGTATTCACCGGTCATCTGTGCTGGCCCTGCCACGTCTCGATAGGTGGGACCCAGGCCCTGCTCTTGGGGAAGAGATGGCCAGAAGAGGTGTGATCAGTCTGCCGGCTGGGCTGGGGAGCCCAGGTTTACCACCCACACCCACATTTACAGTTCAGCAGGAGAGAAAAATCAAGGCTCCAGTTCCTGGAATGTGATCGGAGGCTGCCGAGGAGGAAGGGAGAAGGGGCATCCTTGAAGGAGTGAGTGAGAAGTAGCTCCCGCCTCTGTGGGCTGTGTGGCTGGTGTGGGGGAGACAGTGATAACACAGCATCATGACTGATAAAAAGGAAACCAGAGCCTTGACAATGACCCCATGGCCTTCTGCTCTGTCCCTTCTCTGGCTTCCTCTTTTGTCCTCCTCCATTTCTCATCCTCACTCTTCTCGGAACATTCCCGCCCACACCTGCGGACCAAGGACGTTTCTGTGCTTGGAGTGGAAGCAGCGAGGGGGAGATAAAGAAAGTGAGGTGTCTGCTGGAGACAAGCGCTTTGGAGGAAATAGCACCCAGGGGTTGGGAGCGTGCAGGGGTGCTCTGCCTGTGTGGGTGCCCCTGACCAAGGGAGGTGACATTTCACGTGAGGCCTGAAGAGCTAGAAGGAGCCCTGCCTGTCAGCAACTGAGGGACAAAGGCCCTGAGGTGGAAAAGCTGATCAGATCTAGGATCAGAATGAGGCTGGTGAGTGAGTGGGGCAGTAGGAGGAGAGGGCTGGGGCAGCTGGCATTTGCATTTTGTTCCAATTTGGTGGGGAGATTTGGAGGGTTTTAAGCAGGAGAGAAAACTGTTCTTTTTTAATTTTAAATATATTTTTATTGATTTCAGAGAGGAAGGGAGAGGGAGAGAGATAGAAACCTCAATGATGAGAGATTCACCAATTGGCTGCCTCCTGCACACCCCACACTGGGGACGGAGCCAGCAACCTGGGCATGTGCCCTGAACTGGAATGGAACCATGACCTCCTGGTTCATAGCTCAACGCTCAACCACTGAGCTACACCAGCCGGGCAAAACTGTTCTGTTTTTAAAGGGATCCCTCTGGCTGCAGAGTGGACTGAAACCAGAGCCCCGTGGTTGGGTGGGTGGGTGGTCAGTGGCTCGAACCAGCTGGGTAAGAGGTGGTGGGACGTGGACTGGTTTGAGACCTGGGGACATGCTTTGCTATGAAGTAGGAAGAAGACTGATGTCCCTGTACCCATTTCACAGATGAAGGAGCTGCAGCTCAGAGGCAGTCCCTGCATAGAGGGACTATTATGCCCATTTTACAGATGTAGAAATTGAGGGGAAGGCATTTGTCCAAAGCGATATAACAAAGGTCAAATGTACATCCCTAGGGCACTTTCTCTGCTTCCAGCCAGTGGTTCTCAACCTTCTGGCCCTTTAAATACAGTTCCTCATGTTGTGACCCAACCATAAAATTATTTTCGTTGCTACTTCATAACTGTAATGTTGCCACTGTTATGAATCGTCATGTAAATATCTGATATGCAGGATGGTCTTAGGCGACCCCTGTGAAAGGGTCGTTCGACCGCCAAAGGGGTCACGACCCACAGGTTGAGAACCGCTGACCATTTCTCTCTCCAGGTGTGGCTGGGATTAGTCAGCGCTTGACGTTGCAGAAGGAAATTGAGGCTCTCAAGAACAGCACTCCTGGTAGTGAGTCTGGGATAGGACCCAGGGCCTCTGGTAGGAGTCTAGACCCCTTGTCTCCCTGCCACAGTCCCTGCTTCCTGGCGTGGCTGGAGCAGAATCCACAAGAGGACAATAATGGAGGTGATGCTTAATTGCGCATTTCCACCCTCAGTGCTGCAGATGCCCAGGGACCAGATGCGGATGAGGAGGCTCTGCTTTGTGGGGAAGCGGGTACATTCCCAGCTGCCTCCCGCGTGGCTCGATGCCCACTGTGGGGGAGTGTGTGTGTGTGTGTGTGAGTGTGTGTAACTGTGCATGTGAACATGTCAGTGTGGTGCCTGCAGGAGCTGCAGCTTCTTCAGTAGTGTTGGGCACCCAGGGGCACCTAGCCACCCCCTGCTAGGTCTCCAAGTCCCCTCACTGCTCCGTCCACTTATCCTCAGGCCCCGTGGTTTCGGTGCCTTCTCTCCGGGCCCTGCTTCGGCTTCTTGATGAGAAAATAATTAACCACAGTCTCATTCTCCACGGCTCCCACCCGGTTCCCCTGGCCAAGTTAAAAATATTCACAATGAGTAGGGCTGGGGTGGGAGGAGTACAAGAGGCCGAGGACACGGGCCACAGGGAGGCAGGGGTGTGTTGGGAGGGAGGCCTGGTGTGTGTCTGAGCGCAGAGCTCGGGAGAGGAGAAAGAGGGGCTGGGGCGAGGCTCGGCCGCCTCCCACTGCGGCCTCAAGGCCTCACGGTGTGAATCTTGCCCTGTGGGGCCTCTGCTTCCTCCTCTGAGAGCTGAGGAATTTGCATTAGACTTAAGTGCTTGCAAAGCATTGCCCCTGGTTGTAAACAGGTGATTCCCCCAAACAAAAGGTACCCACAAACTGCTGTGGGTAATTAAATTTGGGAGCCCACACCAGGATCTATCAAGTCAAACCACCATCTTTACTGCAGAGCTTTTCAGGACCTTTACTGGTTGAAAACTTTATTTTTATGGATAATGAATACGTCATTTAGTTCTGATGGTGTGGAAGGAGTTGGGGAGCGCACAGCGCTTTCCTGTGCCAGCTCTGCCCCCTCTGACCTCGCTGTCAGCGGGCGCCATGGCAGTTTCCAGTGCTGAGAGAGATGGTATCTGCTCTATCAGCCGATATGGGTATAGACTTTCTCATGAAGTGACCACGAGTTTCCCAAGAAGGAGGGAGGAGTCTCAATGCAGCATTTAACAAAACATATTTTTTAAAATTGATTTCAGAGAGGAAGGGACAGGGAAAGAGAGGTAGAAATATCAGTGATGAGAGAGAATCATGGATCGGCTGCCTCCTGGATGCCCCCCACTGGGGATTGAGCCCGCAACCCAGGCATGTGTCTTTGACCAGAATCAAACCCAGGACCCTTCAGTCCACAGGCCGACACTCTATATCCATCCAGCCCAACCAGCTAGGGTGGATGCAGCATTTTAAAAAGCCGGTTTGGGTCAGTGGATAGAGCGTTGGCCTGCGGACTGAAGGGTCCCGGGTTCAATTCTGGTCAAGGGCACATGCCCAGGTTGTGAGCTTGATCCCCAGTGGGGGGCATGCAGGAGGCAGCCGATCCATGATTCTCTGTCATCATTGATGTTTCTCTCCCTTCCTCTCTGAGGTCAATAAAAATATATATATTTTAAAAAAAACACAACAACTTACTTTGACACACCCCACTCCCAAGCATTTCTGGGTCCAGCATGTGGAGGAACATTCTTTGGGAAATGCGGGGTACCTGGTCCTATGTTCTCTGATGAGATTTTAAAAAACCCTCACCTGGGGATATTTCCCATTGATTTTTTGGAGAGAGTGGGAAGGAGGGCGAAAGACACGGAGAGAAACATCGAAATGAGAGAGACACATCAATTGGTTGCCTCCTGCGCGCACCTAACCAGGGCGACCGAGGTAGTTGCCTTTGACCGGAATCGAACCTGTGACCCTTCAGTCCACAGGCTGATACTCTATCCATTGAGCCAAACCAGCGAGGGCTCTAATGAGAGTTTGTGTAGGCGGGGAGTTAGCAGAGTTCTGAGAGTTCAGACTCTCTTCCCTGAGAAGGTGGCAGTGACCTCTGTCCTTTGCTGCGCACCCAGGGGCTGCCCTGAAGCTTGAGAGAAGGTACCAGAGCTGGCAGCCCATTTGGGGACACTGAGCCCCAAGAGGGCAAGCACTTGTTCAGGTCAGAAGCAGGTCAGAGGGCCAGCCAGAACCAGGACCCAATGCAGGGCCCCACAGCTGAGCAGGGCGCTAGAGGTGCCCTGCAGGGAGAGACCCCTGGGAGCTCTCTGAAGCCTGGGACCCTGGTGCACACTTCATTTCCTGGGAAAGGAAGAAGCACATGGGATTGTGACCGGCGTGGGCAAATGCACACAGTGGGTGATGTGCAGGTTGTGTAGGACCTCTGTGCTGTGGGAGCTCTGGGTGTGTCACCATGTGCCCCTGGGGTTGTGCCGGAGTGACCTGTGCACCTCCGTGCGAGGTCCCTGCCAGGTGCGAGCAGGAGCCTCTGGCGGGGGGTGTGAAGGGGGGGGGTCGTGTGTGTGTGTGTGTGTGTGTGTGTGTGAGTGAGTGTGTGTATGAGTGAGTGTGTGTGTGAGTGCGCGTGCGTGCGTGTGAGTGTGTGAGTGTGTGTGAGTGTGATTGTGTGAGTGTGTGCGTGAGTGTGTGCGTGTGTGTGTGAGTGTGAGTGAGTGTGATTGTGTGTGCGTGTGAGTGTGTGAGTGTGTGAGTGTGAGTGAGAGTGTGTGTGAGTGTGTGTGAGTGTGTGTGAGTGTGTGTGTGAGTGTGAGTTTGATTGTGTGTGTGAGTGACCGTGTGTGCGTGTGAGTGTGTGAGTGTGTGAGTGTGATTGTGTGAGTGTGTGCGTGAGTGTGTGCGTGTGTGTGAGTGTGAGTGAGTGTGATTGTGTGAGTGTGTGCGTGAGTGTGTGCGTGTGTGTGTGAGTGTGAGTGAGTGTGATTGTGTGTGCGTGTGAGTGTGTGAGTGAGTGTGATTGTGTGTGTGTAGTGTAGGGGGGTGGTGGCTGTGGGCGCGGGGCCCGCGCCCGAGCCGGGAAGGTGTGTGGGGAGCGGCGTGCGTGCGGGAGGGTGTGACCTGCGTGTCCGCCCCGCCCCGGGAGGCCGGGCAGGTGTGGGCGGGCCGCGCGGACCCCGGGAGCCGCCGGCTGGAGCCGCGGGAAACAGGAAGCTGGGGGAGGCGCGGCCGGACGGCGGGGAGGCAGGGCGCGCGGGGGGCCAGCCGGACTCGAGGCCGCCCGGGCGGCGATGAGGGGAGGCCCGGGCAGCCCCGGCGGCGGCGTGGACGGGGACGGAGCCGGGAGCGCCGGGGGCGCCGGGGACACCGCGCCTTTGCGCCGGCGGAGCCGCCGCCCGAGCGCAGAACCCGGCGCCCGAGGCGGCTGCGGGGCGCGGGGTGAGTCGGGCCGCGGGGTCGCGCACAGCGGGGCGGACGGGGCGCCGGGGGCAGGGGGCGCTGGGGCCGTGGGGCGCTGGGGCCGGCGGGCGACGCCCTGGGATGGGATCGCCGGCGCCCCCCTCCCCCCGCCCGGGGCGCCCCGCTGATGTCCGGCTCCTCTGGCCCGCAGACCCCGAGGACGCGACCATGCCGGGCGGCGCCGAGGCGGGGGAGGCGGAGGAGGAGGCTGGGGCCGGTTCGGGGTCCGAGGCGGAGGAGGACGCCCTATGGGAACGGATCGAGGGCGTCCGGCACCGGCTGACGCGCGCCCTCAACCCGGCCAAGCTCACGCCGTACCTGCGCCAGTGCCGGGTCATCGACGAGCAGGACGAGGAGGAGGTGCTGAGCACCTACCGCTTCCCGTGCCGCGTCAACCGCACGGGTGAGCCCGGGGCCGGGGCCGGGGTCGGGGTCGGGGTCGGGGTCGGGCCCCGAGCGCGGAGCCCGGAGTCCGGAGCCCGGAGCCCGGAACCAGAGGCCGACAGCTCTGCCCCTGGGCCGCAGGGGGGATGGCCGGTGTGCCCACCATCCCGCCACCTCCCCGACCGCTGGCAGGACCAAGCGGTCCGGGGCGCCCACAGCGGCGTCTGGGTTTTGTCTGCCTTGGGGTTTCCTCCCACGTCCCGGGCCACATTAGAGGGGTGCTGGCGGTGGTGGCGGCGGCGGCGGCGGCGGCGGCGGCGGCGGCGGTGGTGGCGGCGGCGGTGGTGGTGGTGGTGGTGGGGGGGGGTTGGATGTGGTCGTTAGGGCGGCCAGGCACCTCCGGGTCACAGCCGGTGCCCTTGGCATCTTCCTGCGCCCTTGCTTCCTCAGTTCTCCGTGCCCTCCCCGAGCCACACACTCTTGGAGACTCACTTTCCTCCAGGTGCTCAGGACCCATCTCTGCTTAGCGAGGGTGCCCTCCCACAGCGCGGGTCCTGGAACCAGGGCTGGCAAAGGGCTGTGGGTCTAATGGACTTGCAGGAATTGGCCCATGGGAGAGCTATTTTACTTCGCTTTTGGCGATAGAGGGGGCTTTGGTGCGTGTGCCAGTGAAAAGGCAGGCAGCATTTGCTGGGCCTGCGTGTGTTGAATGTGTGTGTGTGTGTGTGTGTGTGTGTGTGTGTGTGTGTGTGTGAAGCTCAGGTGCTGGGGAGAGGGGGGGGGCTCTTGGCTCTCCTGGCTGTGGCCTTCGGGCTCTCCCCATGATGAGTTGAGACAGGCCCCTGTGTGTATCAGTGTCTTAAAAATGTGGGGAATGTGGGCCCTGGAACACTGTGGGGGGGACTGGCTAGGCACTGGGGGGGCCCTCCCCTTGAACCCTGGGCACCCGCCTGCACTTCCCAGGGCGCCTCATGGACATCCTGCGCTGCCGTGGCAAGAGGGGCTACGAGGCCTTCCTGGAAGCCCTGGAGTTCTACTACCCCGAGCACTTCACGCTGCTCACTGGCCAGGAGCCGGCCCAGCGCTGCTCCATGATCCTGGGTGAGTGGGTCCGCCGTGGGCGCCGCAGCTCCCAACCCCGGGCAGAGGTCGCTTGCCTTGTCCCTGTCAGGGAGGCACCACCATGATCCCTGTTGACCAGATAGGGAGACGGAGGCACAGAGAGACCCGAGAGGTCTGCCCAAGGCCCCAGAACAGGCTGAGTGTGGGCTGGGATTCTATTCCAGTTAGAGTTCCGAACAAGACCCCTAAAATTGATTGCAGGCTTGTATGTGTCAGACATACATGGGTGTACGGTTTCTTATGCAAAAAGTTCAAACAGTCCAGGTGACTTTAGAATGAAAAGGAAAGACCTTTACTTCTTCCTTCAGCTCTGCTCTGCTGGTAACCCTTCGTCGAGTCTCCCTTTTCTTTGCATTTATACATGTGCCACGTACACACACACACACACATACATGGATTCATCCTACATGTGCTGCTCTGTATTTCACTGTTTCTCAGAACAACTGATTTTCCCCACATCTGTTACACTTGTTTTAAATGACTGCATGGTGTTCATTAGTGATGCTTGCCACAAGTCACTTAACTGGTCCCCTGTTGATGGGCATCTAGGTTGTTTCCAGTTTCGCAATATTACAAACGATGCTGGGAACATCCTTCTGTATGCATCTTGGTGCAAATGTATATATCTCAGGAGGAGAGCTTCTGAGAAGTAAAGTTTCTCAATGAGTATGTGTATTTTAAATGTGAAATCAGCATACATCTCACCAGCGGTGTATGGGTGTCCATGTTGCTGTACCCTCATGCATCCTGGGGATGTAAAAACATTTTTGCCAGTTTGATATGTCAAAAATAATCTTTTTAAGTTTGTACTTCATTGAGAGATATAATTCATAGCTTACAAATTAGTAAACCTTGGGCAAATGACATGACCTTTCTGTGCCTCAGTTTCTCTGTCTTTAGGGTAGATATAATAATAGTACCTATATTAAGTGTTGTCATGAAGATTAAATAAATTAACATATGTATCTAGCCCAAAGAATAAAGTTAAATGTTAGTGGCTATAATTATTATTATTATAATGGTGAGGTAGGGCCTATTTATTAGCCACTTTTGTTTTGGGACTTACCTACTGATAGTTTTTACCCTTATTTTTATTTGTTTGTTTGCCTTTTTTTTTATTGACATGTAAAAGCTCTTTATATATTGTGGCTCTGAATTCTTGTATTTTTCTTTTGCTCTGTTGCTTGTTTTTTTAACTTTGTTTATTACATCTTTCATCATTCTGAAAGTTTAATATTTGTATATGGATTTATCTATCTTTTCTTTTATAGCTTCTGATTTTTGTGCCTTATTTAGGAAGGCCTTCCTTACCCCTAAATTATAAAAACATAGGGTGTTCCCCCAAAATATATATACACACTTTGAATAATTATAAAGGCAGTGTTTATTAAAATACATTTCATTTTCAAAATTGAGCTATCAGCTATTAAAGTGTGTATGCATTTTTTGAGACACCCTGTATATTCCAGAGTTTTCTTCTAGTGTTTTTGTGGTGTAAGTGTTTCTGTGCAGTTTGCTGTCCCTGTGGGTTTTATTTGCCTGACTTGGCTTTTCTCCCCACTGTGTCTCGCAGATGAGGAGGGCCCTGAGGGCCTGACCCAGTTCCTGATGACCGAGGTGCGGCGGCTGCGGGAGGCTCGAAAGAGCCAGCTGCAGCGGGAGCAGCAACTGCAGGCTCGAGGCCGGCTGCTGGAGGAGGAGCGGGCAGGACTGGAGCAGCGGCTGCGGGAGCAGCAGCAGGCTCAGGAGCGCTGCCAGCGGCTGCGGGAGGACTGGGAGGTGGGCAGCCTGGAGCTGCTGCGGCTCAAGGATGAAAACTACATGATCGCCATGCGCCTGGCACAGCTCAGCGAGGAGAAGAACTCGGCCGTCCTGCGCAGCCGGGACTTGCAGCTGGCGGTAGGCCCTGGGAGATGGACAGGGCACCGTGGGGCAGGGGCGACTTTATAAAAAAGGATGGTTATGTGGTAGCCAGCTCGTGTCCCAGAGCCACCATCTGCCAGCTATTGGACTGTGGGCAAGGCCTTTCACTACCCTGTGCCTCAGTTTTCTCATCTGTAATATGGGGGTGTTGATGGCACTTATTTCATTGAGTTATGGCTGTGGTTCTCAACTGGGGACAGTTTTGCCCCCCAGAAACAATGGCCACGTCAGGAAACATTTTTGGTCGTTACAGTGAGGTGTGTTCTATTGGCCTCTAGTGGGTAGAGGCCAGTGTTGCTGATAAACATCCTACAGAGAACAGGCCAGCCCCCAAACCAAGAATTATTTAACCCAAAATGTTAGCAAGTGCCGAGGGGGAGAAAACTTGGGTTACGAGGGTGCATCAGTTTGAGATAGGTACAGTGCCTGCACAGGTTAGTGCTCAGACCCTGCATTGTCATTAGCCATTGTCGTTTCTATTATTATTATTATGTGCTTCTGTGTGCCATGCCGGTTACATGCATCACATCACATGTTCCCACTGAGGTCCCATGCACGAGGTTCTCATTTTGAAACTCAGACGCTGGGCTTAGATTGTAAAGAGACTTGCTCATCACAAAGCTGGGAATGGCACCTGGCTTTGAACCAGGTCTGCCTGGCACCAGTGCTGGCCTTCCCCCTGATGCTGTTCTGCCCGATCTTGTCCAGGTGAAGTCGCACCTGGCCCCCTCCAGCAATGAACAAGGCCCCGCCTCTTACAGGTGGAGAAACCGAGTCTCACTTCTTGGTTTCCTGTTGGCACTCAGCGTGGGGATGAAATTGGAATTTTACTGCCCAGGGGATTGTTCAAGGATTTTATTTTTAATCCTCACCTGAGGATATTTTTTCCATTGATTTTTTTCTTTTCCCAGAGAGAGTGGAAGGGAGGGAGGGGAGAGAGGGAAGGAAAGAGAGAGAGAAAAACAGAAACATCCATGTGAGAGAGACACATCGATTGGTTGCCTCTCACATGCTCCCCCACCCGGGCTGGGGATCCAACCTGCAACCCAGGCCTGTGCCCCTGACTGGGAATCTAACCTGAGACCCTTCAGTGTGTGAGTGGATGCTCTAACCATCGAGCAACACGGGCCAGGGATTTAACAGTGCCAGCGGCACACAGTAGGCTCTCTCCTGCAATACTGTGCGAGGCTGCCTGGGGGGATTCTGACCGTGGGGTTGGAAGACCCATGAGCCTCAGCAGAGGCTGTGGCATTGCAGGTGTGACAGGTGCCTGTTGGAGGCTGTCGTGTGGGTGCACTGGAGTGTGGGAGCCTGTGGCTGTGCACACCAGCATGTTGGGGTTTCGGGAAACGAATCCTGATTGGGGGCGTTGAGGCCACAGGCTGAAGGGCCTAGACTGCCAGGCCTGATGGGGGGCGTGGGAGGCAGATGCTTGGAGTGGGGTGACCAGGAGGCTGTTCTCTGCCTGCTTGGTGTTTGGCATGAGGTAGGGCTGTCTGAGGCCCAAGACTGGCTGCAGATTGAGCGAAGGGTGGCCTGGGCAAGGCTTTCCTCTCTGTGCCTCCGTTTCCTCACCATGCTGGAGGCGGGAGGTCACAGAGAAGGACGACGTAGTGAAACAGCACCTCCTATGCCCAGGCACGGTCCTCACTGCTTGCCATGCAACGACTCCTTGAATTTTCCAACAACTCTATTGGGACAAGGGTGGCGGCACTATTCCTGTCCCCATTTATGGATGAGGAAACTGAGACCCAGCAGGATTGGTTAGAGCACTTTCCCAGGGTCCCACGATTGAGAATTTCTGAGCTTGCTCTTGGCACTGCTAGGGTGGGGTGGGGCGGGTGGCAGGTGGGGAGAGCTGGGTTCCCCATCGTCATCCGTGCCTGCTTTTTTGAAATGGGCATGAGACCTGCTATGAGTGTTCTTGGACAAGAGTTCTGCTGCTCAGAGAGGACAGTGTGAGGGCCACCGGCCCAGGGAGTTGGGAGTGGCTGAGGCTGGAATGGCCTGGAGCATCATTCATGCACCAAAAGGTTGCTGGTTTGATTCTCCGTCAGGGCACATACCTAGGTTGAGGGTTTGATGTTTTCCTCTTACATTGATGTTTCTCTCTCTCTCTCTCTCTCTCTCTCTCTCTCTCTCTCTCTCTCTCTCTTTCTCTCAAAATCAGGTGAGGATTAAAAAAAAAAAATGAAGAGGCATTGGAGGTGCCTCTGTATCTGCAGATTAGCTATAGGTGCGCATAGTGTGACCACCTAGGGGGAAGAGAATCTGACACTAGGGGAAGAATGGCTGCTTTTTCCCAGTTTAGGGGGTAGAGCAGTGGTTCTCAACCTCCTGGCCCTTTAAATATAGTTCCTCATGTTGTGACCCAACCATAAAATTATTTTCATTGCTCCTTCATAACTGTAATGTTGCTACTGTTATGAATCGTAATATAAATATCTGATATGCAGGATGGTCTTAGGGTCGTTCGACTGCCAAAGGGGTCGCGACCCACAGGTTGAGAACCGCTGGGGTAGAGGGGAAGGGGTGAAATTCAACTAATGGATAAGTTTCTCTTTAAATGTAGCTACTGTAAATTTTGCCTACATTTTGGGGGCTTTTTTCGGCCACAAAAATGAGCAAAGGCGTTGCAGATGGAAATGAGTAGAACAGCTGATGGTCCCTGTCTTGGCAGCCTGGGCCCCCTTTCCCACGGGCAGGTGTGTGGCGGCTGTGACTTAATACCGTGCTTTGTAAGGTGCAAATTTAATGAGCGGCGATTTCCAAGCAACATAAACTTAAGGAACCAACACTGTAATTTTGTGCTAAGTGAGTTTGTACCCCAGGATTAAATGCACCCGCATTTCCTGGCATTCAGCAGAGACTCCCAGGTGCTCTGCCCCCTGAGCTCATCGCGGTAGTGTGCTGGCCAAGGGTCAGGCGGGAGGCCGTGGTGTGTGGCTGCGGTTTGCTGGAGAGGGTGTGACCACGCTTGCCCTTGTAACCAGCTGTCTCTCTCTCCGATGGTTTACAAAGCATGTTTTGTGAGGGAAAGGAATGTGAGAATCATGAATTTCTTCCTGAGCCTTTTGCGGAGGAGGAGAAACTCCTGACCCAGCCTCAGACCCGTGTGTGTGTGTGTGTGTGTGTGTGTGTGTTGGTGTGTGTGTGGCCATGCTCGGCTCTGGGAAGTGTGAGGCTGCCATTCATTTTCCGAGACAGGCCAGGGCATTCCGAGGGCACCAGACATTGGCACGCCGGAGTGTAGCACCAGAGGTCATTGTGCCTTCTTTCAACAATGACTTCGTTTTGTGGCCTGCCACCTGCTGCTCCTCTTGTCGCTATTCAGCAACCTTGGACCCCACATGAATTTGGAAAATACCTCTGGCTGAGTGCGGTTATAATCCAGCAAACCGATCGTGCATATCTGCTCTCAGCCAGCCGGCCACCTCACAGCCGCCCAGCCACCACCCCGGCCAGCTCCAGCTGTACCCACCGTGTGGTGGCAGGTTGGGATTTTTTTTAAAGCTGTGAAGACAGCCACTGTCACACCCCTGGCAGCTCTGCAGCCAGCCTCTGAGCGCTTAAAGATCTCTGCCCACCTTCTGTCTTGTTTGCTTCTTGCAATGACTTTGGAAGGCAGCGCATGCACAGAGCAGGGGGAATGAACGCGCCCATTTTACCTGTAAAGAAACTGAGGCCCAGAGGAGGTCAGTGACTTGCTCAGGAGGACAGGAGGGCAAAGTGGTACAACTGACGCCTGGACCCCAGGCCTGGAGTTCCTGTTGAGGATGAACAGCACAGTCTTCTAGGGGGGAGGCCTGGGAACCCTCAAAACCATCCTCTTCCTCCTTGTCCCCCTCTTCCCTGGGAGATGAGGAAACCGAGGCACAAAGAGAGCCCATGACTTGCCAAAGGCCACACTGAGTTCGAGGCGGAGCTGGGCCCAGACCCTGCTCCCCCTGTTCTCGGTGTAGCCCTCCTCCTCCTCCTCCGTCAGCTGGTATTGGGCTCTCTGGCCTGTTCTCCGTGTCGGAACCGTGGGACTGATGAAGCAACGCGGCCGAAAGTCCTTGAAGCAGAGGCCCCTGGGAGGGTGGCTTGGCCCTGCCGCCCCCTTCCTTCCTCATCGTGTTTGCCCAGCCGGTACTTCCTTCATAGACAAGTCCAGGAGGGCGCCTGCTGAGGCCCCTCTGGGGATCTGGGAGGCACCCAGGAATGAGGAGCAGGCCTTCTCCCCATGGGCCTCCCTGGGGTCCTTCCCTGGGCTGCATCCCTCCCTGGGCTGACCCATGTGTTGCTACCCAGGTGGATCAGCTGAAGCTGAAGGTGAGCCGGCTGGAGGAAGAGTGTGCGCTGCTCCGCAGGACCAGGGGGCCACCCCCCGGGGCAGAGGAGAAGGAGAAGGAGAAGGAGAAGGAGAAGGAGCCGGACAGCGTGGACCTGGTCTCTGAGCTGCGTGCAGAGAATCAGCGGCTGACAGCGTCCCTGCAGGAGCTGCAGGAGGGGCGGCAGCAGGTTCGGAGGTGGCCACTGGGGGGAAGGGGGTCAGAGAATGAGGAGCCTACACCTGGGGTGAGATCGGATGGACCCTGGCTGGCCTCTTGTCTTGGCTGAGCGTTCTGCTCTCTCTGGCCTTTAGTCTATGGTCTGTGGGTGGCCCCATGAGGTAGGTCTCTGGATGCTTTGCCACTGTGCACCTGATTTTGTGTGTGAGCATTTTTAGGGGGAAAGGGCCCCAGCTTTTATTATTTGTAGAAGAGTCTGGAAAGTTGAGACCCCTGGGGTCTGGGTGGCCCAGGGCTTGCTGGGGGTCCTGGGGCAGGTCAGTGGCAGTGTGGGCTGGCCACCCGGCCATTGCTCCACATAGGAAGTGGGGGGTGGGAGCCAGGGTTCTGGTGTACTTCCTAGGGTTGGGGGTGCCTGGCTGGGGTGTGGGTTTGGGGGTGGATCTTGGGCCCATGGTCTACCTGCTGGGGACAGGCTCAGCCCCTACGAAGACCCCTTGTGAGGGGCCGGAATAGGCCTTAGAAATGGCTACCTATCTGCTGCCCTGGGCGGCTGGTGGGGGCCTGAGCAGGAGAGAGCGTGCCTAGTTTTTGTTTCGGAACATGATCCTGGCTGAACTCATTCAAGCATGCCTCACACCCTTAGCTCATCTGCACCCCAGATGTTCCCTGGAGGGTGGGCAGGGCTGGTGGGCCACGCCCACTCTACATTTGGGAAACCGGGGTCCAGAGAGGTCAAGGCCCTGGGCCCAGATGGCAGAGCTAGTGGAGTGGGGCTGAGGGCTGAGGGCTGTGGGTCCCCCTTCCCCTGACACTCAAGGTGGGCCCTGGGCCAGAGGCTGAGGCAGCCTTGAACTCTGACCCCCAGGAGGCAAGCCGGCCAGGGGCCCCAGGCTCAGAGCGCATCCTCTTGGACATCCTGGAGCATGACTGGAGGGAGGCGCAGGACAGCAGACAGGAGCTGTGCCAGAAGCTGCACACGGTGCAGGGGGAGCTGCAGTGGGCTGAGGAGCTCCGGGACAAGGTACAGTCCCCCGTGTACCATCCCCACCCTGCCCTGCCCCCGCCTTCCTTCTTACACAGCTGGGGAGGCTCCCGGGGAGGAGAGGGTGGTGGGCATCACCAGTTCACTTGCGCCGACCTTCCCTGCAGGTGTGCCAGGCACTATGCTAGGAACTGTGCATTCATTCATCCTCAAGTATTTATTGCGATACATCAGGGAACAAAACAACTGTCTCTGTCCCTGTGGAGGGTAAATTCTAGCAGGGGAGACACACCGTCTGCCATACACACAACCTGAGTCAACCGCTTCACGTAGGGGAGGGTGATGCGGGATGTGGAGAAGCAGAGCAGGGCCAGGGAGCAGGATGCAGTTCAGAGGGAGGCCCAGGTTGGTTGGGAGGGAGTCATCATTACTGGTAGTCCCATTTTACAGATGAGGCAGCTGAGGCCCAGGGAGGTGAAGTCAGGCCCAGCTGGGGAGATTGGATGGGCGTGTGTTTTGAGGGCTCAGGCCTCTCTCTCTGGACCTGTTGGGCACCTGCTGGTTGGCTTTCCTGGGTCACCAACCTTGTGGTCTGACCCTGGCATGTTCCACCCTGTGCCGCCCCACCCGCCCGCCCGCAGTACCTGCAGGAGATGGAGGACCTGCGGCTGAAGCACCGCACGCTGCAGAAGGACTGCGACCTGTACAAGCACCGCATGGCCACCATCCTGGCCCAGCTGGAGGAGATTGAGAAGGAGCGGGACCAGGTGAGCCCCACCTTCTGGGCCTGAGGTCCTGCCCGGTGGGTGGGCAGACGAGGAGACGCGGACGGGACTAGAATTGTGGAAAAGAGACTCCCACGGGGCACTGATTGGTTAGGAGGGGCATGTAGGCCAGGAGGACACAGGCGTGGGGCCTTGAGCACTCCAGGTATGCCAGCCTTGCCCCTGAGCACACCTGCTCACCTGAGCTCCTGGGACAGTTAGGGAGTTGGTCCTGGCGCTCTTTACTTCTGAATTTCTATTCTCTCTCCAAGTCAAAAACAAGACCTACGCAGGGGAGGTGCTTGCAAATATTTGCTGATGAAGAAATTCTCTAAAGTTCTGGCTCCCAAGCCCTGGGCACCACGGCCCTCTCCGTCTGAGGCCACAGGGTGGGCTGAGGGCCCAGGCCAGCTCCTCTGGCCCCCAGGCCTGTGCGAGGCTCCCACGCTCTGGGGAGGGCAGGAGGTCCTATCCTCGGACCAAGTTTGAATCCCACTAGAGGAGTTGAGGTCAGCACATGAGAATGAGGCTCAGAATCCCCTGGCGGGCTCGGTGAAGAGGCGGGTTCAGGCTTCATCCCGGACACTCTGGTTCTGTGGTTTGGGTGGGCTCAGGGATCTGCCCTTCGCCCGGTTGCTCCTGGCTGCTGGGCCTGTCTCCAGCTCCCTCTGGGGCAGTGGGTCGGTGGCAGGTCCAGGCACGGGCCCAGCTTTCAGGGACCCTGGGCTTCATCGTGGGGAAAAGTGCTTTGGATGCAATGGGATGGGCTTGAATCCAGGCTCCTCCACTAGGCGGGGGTGCTGTGAGTTAAGCTGGCTACACACAGTAGGTCTCACAGTTTTAAGCTGTCCTTGGGAAATGGTCAGAGCCTGGACTCTGCCTGGGTTTGAATCCCAGCCCTGCCCCTGCTGCCTTGGTTTCCTTATTTACAAGATGAGAATAATGAGACTGCCTCACTTGGAGGGTGAGTGTGCTGATTAAATGAGCTGATATTAAGCCCAGGGTCAGGCACAGGAAGTGCTATTCCTGCTGCCACCCCCTTCTGTGTGGTTGGAGGCCAAGCCAGCTGAGTCAGTGTGGCGCCTTCGCCCTCCCAGGCCATCCAGAGCCGCGACCACATCCAGCTGCAGTACTCGCAGAGCCTCATCGAGAAGGACCAGTACCGCAAGCAGGTGCGGAGCCTGGAGGCCGAGCGGGACGAGCTGCTGACCACGCTCACCAGCCTGGAGGGCACCAAGGCCCTGCTGGAGGCGCAGCTGCAGCGGGCCCAGGGCGGGCCCTGCCTCAAGGTAGATGGGCAGGAGGAGTACAGGGTCCTGGTTGGCATGCTGGGGCCCTGGCAGGAGCTTTTGGCCAGGGGTGGGAACATGGGGGAACTGGCAGGAGCCCTCAGCTGGGAGTGGGGCTTGCAGGATTGATGGGAGCCTTCAGCGGTGGTGGGATGACATGGGACCCACTGGGAACGCTCAGCTGGGCCTGAGAAGATGCAGGTTTTGGGAGGGAATGTGTGGGTCCTGGCTGGAGCCCTCACGTGGGTCAAGAACATGCTGGCTTGGAGAGAGCTCTTGGCCAGGAGGGAGGATATGCCGGTCTGGTGGGGGACCCCAGCCAGGGTGGGTGTGGGTTGGTGCATAGGGAACGGGACAGAGGCATGAGGCATGTGGGTCTCTGAGCTCCTGGGCTTGCTGCTGGGGCACCAAGACTAGTTTGAAGCCTGTCTTTGCAAACCCTTGGAGAAGCCCAGTGGCCTGAGGGCCTGTGAGCATCTTGGAATGCAAAACATGGGCCCTGAAAGCCCCTCAGAGACCAGCTAGTCCGGCGCCCTCATTGCACAGGGCCCAGAGAGGGTCAGGGGCTTGCCCAAGGTCACACAGCCTGACAGCGCTGGAGCTGTGCCTGCAGACCCCTGGAGAACTAGATACTAGATCTTGGACGTCTGTCAGGAACTCTGCCTTTTCTTATCTTGATTTTCCTTGGAGATAATCAACAGGCCAGGTGTTTAATACCCAGAGGAACAGAACAAAGGAAGTGTGAGTCTGTGACTTCTCACTTTTTAAAACCCTCAGGGGTGTTTTGCTTTTAGGTAAAGACAAAGCCCTTCCTATGCCCTAGAGGCCCTTCAGGGGGGCCCTCCCCTCCCTCTAGCCTGGTCGTCTGGGCTCCTGGAAGGTGTCACAGTCCTGACTCAGGGCCTTTGCACATACTGTTCTGTCTGCCTAGAGCAGTGGTTCTCAACCTTCCTCTTGCCGCGACCCTTTAACACAGTTCCTCATGTTGTGGTGACCCCCAACCATACAATTATTTTCGTTGCTACTTCATAACTGTAATTTTGCTACTGTTATGAATCGTAATGGAAATATCTGATATGCAGGATGTATTTTCAGGGGTCGCGACCCACAGGTTGAGAACCGCTGGGCCATCCTCCCCAACTTTATCTATGTAGCGCCTGCTTATCCTTGAGCTCTCCGTGTAAAGCACACTTGCTCTGGGAAGCACGGGATGCCGCCAGGCTGGGTGGGCCTCTGAGTGCCTTCCCTGCACTCCGCTCCGGGCAGTGTAGGGCTGTTTCCTTCATCTGTCTGCTTGTTTACAGCTTGTGTCCTCTGGGCTGAGCGCTCCGTGAGGGCAGGCGTTCACTGAGTGACTGGAGCTGGCCCTGGCCCAGCACTGCTGACCTCATCCCTCTCCCTTCCTCTCCCAGGCCTGCACCTCCTCCCACTCCCTGTGCTCCAACCTCAGCAGCACCTGGAGCCTGAGCGAGTTCCCCTCCCCGCTTGGAGGCCCAGATGCAGCCGGGGAGGCCACTGTCCTGGGGGGATCCGAGCCCCACATCTCGGTAAGACACCTGCCCACCTGAGTATGGGGGGACACTGACAGTGTTCACATAATTACTAACGTGGGGAGTGCCCTCCAGTTTGCTGACAAAGCCCTTACTAGGCCCCAGAGGCCCTTAGGGGGGCCCCTCCCTCCCTCTAGCCTGGTTCTCTGGGTCTCAGCCTTGGAATTCCTGGAAGGTGTCAGAGCCCTGCCTCAGGGCCTTTGCACATACCTTGGAATGTATTTCACATAGGAGGAAATTGAGACCCACAAAGGTAAGCACCTTATTAAGCTTATCCAGAGCCAGCTGGGCCTGGTACCAGACCTGGGGGCCACTCACACTGTAATCTTGTGGAGCTCACTCCTCCGCTCTGGGCCCCAGTTCTCATCTGTGGAATGGGCGCAAACCTAGGTGCATTGAGTTGGGGGAAGGTGCAATGGGGGTGACCCAGGCCCTGTCGTGACATTGCAGGAGGAGGCTACAGACAATGAGAAAGAGATCAACCGGCTGTCCATCCTGCCCTTCCCTCCCAGCGCAGGCTCCATCCTCCGCCGGCAGCGTGAGGAGGACCCTGCACCTGCTAAGAGGTAAACAGGCCCTGGCCAGTTTGGCTCGGTGGATAGAGAGTTGGCCTGCAGACTGAAGGGTCCTGGGTTTGATTCCAGTCAAGGGCACGCACCTTGGTTGCTGGCTGGATCCCTGGCCTGGGAGGCAACCAATCGATGTGGGAAAAAACACACCCAAAAGGTAAACAGGCTGGAAGGAGAGTGGCAGAGGTCCAGCCACCTCCCAGAATCCCCCATGCCAGAGTCAACACTTGGCGGTCACCTCCCCAACTGCCTTTAAATGGCTAGAGCGCTGGGAACCCAGGCCCTCAGAGCAGGCGTGACTGAGGTCAGAGGTTAAGACAAGGCCAAAGGGCAGAATGGGCTCAGCCCCAACCCAACACTCTGGCATCTGAGTCACTAGAAACTGGACCGCAAAATTGCTCAACCCAGGGGAAGCCTGATGATTTAGGCCAGGAGCGGGGAACGTCTGGCCCCTGGGCTGTATCAGGCTTGTGACGCCATCTGGTCTGGCCCTGCCAAGCCATCAGGGGTGAGTTAACTAAATGTCTGACCAAATACAGCAGCTAACTTTTTTTTTTTAAATTTTATTTTATTGTTTAAAGTATTACACATGTTAGTACATATGTCTCCTTTTTTCCCCCCCCATTGACCTTCCCCCGGCCTCCCCTACCACCACCACCTCCCCTCCCCCCCCGCACATGCCCGCACCCCATCTCCCCAGTGTCTTGTGTCCATTGGTTATGCTTATATGTATGCATACCAGTCCTTCGGTTGAGTTCTTACCTCCTCCACCCCCCCAACAATGTGAACATCTACCACGCCCAGGGCATCTTACTATTTGATTTTCATGTGTGTTTTTTCATTGAATTGCTCTTGTTCTAAACAGCAGCTAACTTTTAAGTGGACAATGTTGTATGGCCCTTGAATGATGTTATAAAAATCCACATGGCCCTCGGCAGAGTGAAGGTTCCCCACCCCTGGTCTAGGACGCGGGCGTGCGGAGAATATTTACAGGTGTCAGGGCCTCAGGCAAGAAAGCTGGCCTCAGGTGTGGGCATCAGCAGCCAGTGGGGCCAGAAAAGGCAGCCATGTCCACTGGTGGCGGGACCGAGGGTGGGGACGACCTCCCTTCCTGGTGTAGGTCCCGGTCTCGAGCTTGATCCCCGATGGGTGAATCTGCCAGGAGTGGGTGTGTGACGAGGAGATCATGATCTAGTATAGTGGTTCTCAGCCTGTGGGTGGCGACCCCTTTGGCGGTCGAACGACCCTTTCACAGGGGTCGCCTAAGACCATCCTGCATATCAGATATTTACATGACGATTCATAACAGTAGCAACCTGACAGTGATGAAGTAGCAACGAAAATAATTTTATGGTTGGGTCACAACATGAGGAACTGTATTTAAAGGGCCAGAAGGTTGAGAACCACTGGTCTAGTGCGAGCATGTCATGGCCGTGAGTTTGGCTTGCTTGATCCAGTGTGAGAGGCAGCCCAGGAGCCACCAACGACAATGTAGAAAGTGCAGATGAGATGGGGCTGAGAGGTCAGGGGAGGCCTCCTGGAGGGGGTGGCATTAAAGAACAGGCCGGGGCATTCTAGGTGGAAGGCCATGGGGCTGCAGCCAGGGTGTTACCTTCTTGCCTCTATGAGTTTAGGGGAGCTGGGTGGCATGCGTGCCCTGTGCCTGGGACTCCCACCTGCTCTAGCCTGCCTGTGCTTGGGGGCTGCAGGACCGCTTGGTGGCATAGGGGCAGGAGGAGGGAGTGGGGCAGATGCCCACGGACTCTCAGCTCCTGCCCCTCCCGCCCGTCCTCTCTCTGCCCAGGTCCTTCAGCAGCATGTCCGACATCACAGGTAAGGGCCCTCGGACACTCCATGGGGAGGGCTCACGGGGTGGGGGGTTGGGGGGTGGGGGGGAGGAGAGCTTTTCAGTTTACCTGAGGCCTGTGCTGCCTGCTCTGCCCTTGGCCTGTGACTCCCTCCCCCAGGCCCAGCTATGCCCTGGACAGGCAGGAAGGCTCTACTCAGGAGGCGTCTGGGGGAGTGGGTTTACCCCGAGCTCAGCCCTGGTCCTGGCTGTGCTGTGCGGGGGGGCCCCCCTCAGTTCTGGTCCACCCTTCACCCTCTTCTAGGAAACTCCAGGGCCGTCCTGGCAGGCGCCGGCCCAGCCCTGAGCCCAGTGGGTCCCCTGTGTTCTTGGGGCCTCCAACCTGCTGGGCCCCAGGCCTCTGGGCTGTGGGTGGTCTCGGGCCCTCCCCTGTGTTTCAGTCCAGCGCCCTTGAACCTCACTCCTTCTCCCCAGGGAGTGTAACGCTTAAACCCTGGTCCCCCGGCCTCTCCTCATCCTCATCCTCCGACAGTGTGTGGCCACTGGGAAAGCCGGACGGTCTCCTGGCCAGAGGCTGCGGCCTGGATCTCCTCGGCAGGTACGGACGCCGCCTGGGTAGGGGGAGGTGGGGGCCTGCGTCTCAGGGCCTGGAGCAGGGTGAGCAGGATGAGGTGGGAGGGAGCAGAGCTAAGCCTTTGGTTTATGCAACTGTCAGTTGGATTCCAACCCCGTCGCCACCGTTTATCATCTGTGTGACCTTTCTCCGTTTCTTCAACGGGAGCAGTGAGCTCTCTCTTCTGCATGTGGGTGGTGTGAGGTGTAGGATCCATGTCAGTCAAGCACCTAGCTTTGCCAGGTACATAGTAGATGCTGAGTTAACCCTCTGCCTGTCTTCCCAGCTCTGAGCTCCCGCCCAACAAAGCTTCGAGCTGTGGGTGGGGTGGGGCTCCTCAGGAGCCAAGAAACACATTGGCTCAGAGCGTGCTGGAGGCAGTGAGCTCTGTGTGTTGGTCGCGAAGGGCCTCCCCGGCCAGGCTTTGGAGTGGACCTCAGGAGGGGAGAGAGGGAGGCCGGACTGACAGTGTGGCCTTTGAACTCAGCCACGGAGAGAGGGCAGGTAGGGAGGGCAGCTGCATGACTGGAAGAGGCAGAGAACAGAGGCTGTTTGGGATGGGCTTGGAGTTTGGCGTTGACTGGTGCACGTGGGAGTGGGGCTGGGGGGGAAGGCCAAGCCACAGCAGGCTCTGAGTCAGGCTGGAAAAGTGTGGACTTTGGCTGGTGCACTCTGGGAAACCTGCGAGGGATTAGCTATTACTAACTGCAGGCGCGCTGCTGGCTGCCTTCGGGCATTCTCTCTGTCCCTGGAGGAAGGCGCTATTATGATTATCCCGGTTTCCTAGGAAAGAAACTGGGGCTCAGAGAGGTTAAGCGCCTTGCCCGAGGTTACCCAGCTGGGAAGTGCCCTGGCCCAAGTCCATGGTGACCTGATCAGACGTGGGTTTTGGAAAGGGCGTAGGAAGCACTGAGGTCAGAGCTGGAAAGTGGGGGTGCTGGATACAGAGCACAGGTCACCAGGAAACCAGGGCAGAGCAGGACCAGGAGCCTCCCGCCCCCTGGACGCAGCTTGGCCAGGCCTGAGTCCAGAGCCCTGCCCCCACCCTCCGCCCCGGCAGTGGGCCCAGCGTGACATTGTTTCTCCCTGTGCAGGACGTGCTTCTGAGGGAAGGGGTGGAGGCACCTCCCTTCCTGCCTGACTTGGCCCTTCCTCCCTCCAGCTCAGGCCTGCAAAGGGGGTCTTGGCTCTCGTCCAGGGGGCGCCGGGATGTGGCAGAGGTAGCAGGAGCCGTGTGATCAGGGGGCCGCCTCTGATGCCCGTGCTGTTCCCGAGGAGGAGGGAGATGGGGGAGAACACAGGTCAGGATGGAGGCAGAGGTGGGGGGCGGAGAGAGAAAGAGGTTGAGGGAGAGGCAGAGAGGGAGGTGAGGTGCGGGGCATGTGTCCTGGGGCCGTGTGACAGTACAGTGCAGGAGACCGTGTGTCAATCAGCTGAAATCTTGCTCCACTGTGGAATCTTGGGCGTGTGACGTAGTTTCCCAGTGCCTCAGTTTCCTGCTCTGTAAAATGGGGTCACAATTGTGCCTGCCCCCTTAGGTCGTTAGGGGGTTCCAGTATTCCTATTAGAGTGGCTCAGAGTGAGTGGTAGCGCCAGCTCTGAGCTAATGTCATTGCTGCCCTTGTTGCTTAATTCTCAGAGTGGCCTGCAGGCTGGCATTTCTAGCCGCCTTATTCAGATAGGGAACACTAGGCTCGGAGTCAGGAATTTGTCCCAGGGCCTCTGAGTGGTGGAGTTGGGGGTTCCTGGGTGCCTTCCTTCTGTCTAAGTCACATTTTTTGGGTTAATCCTCACCTGAGAGTATTTTTTCCATTGACTTTTAGAGAGAATGGAAGGGAGGGAGAGAGGGAGAGAGAGAGAAGAGCTAGAGAGACTTGGATGCCTCCTGCATGGGCCCTGACCAGGGCTGGGGATTGAACCTGCAACCACAGTACATGCTCTTGACTGGGAATCAAATCTCCATCCTTCCGTGCCAGGCTGATGCTCTAACCACTGAACACACTGGCCAGGGCCGTCTAAATCAGCGGTCGCCACCCTTTCGGACCTCACAGACCACCAGGGGTCCGCGGACCACCGATTGGTGACGCTGGTCTGAGTCACTTTAATCTCCCACTTGTGTTCAGTGCTCACTCCATGCTGGGTATTCTCAGCCCTGTCTCCCCTGCCCTGCTGGCTCCTGGGGCCTTGGGGCAGGGCAGAGGAGGGGGCCAGTGGGGGTGCTGGGCAGGCTGACAGATAGATGGACGGTGGACAGGCTGGGAGACAGTGAGGCGCTGAGTATGGAGGGGCGTGTGGGGAGAGGACCAGGTGCCGTGGCCCCTGGCCAGGACCCGCCCCTGCCCCCACTTATTCACATAGCCCAGTGGTCGGCAAACCGCGGCTCGCGAGCCACATGTGGCTCTTTGGCCCCTTGAGTGTGGCTCTTCCACAAAATACCACGTGGATGACCACGGGCGCGCACGTACAGTGCGATTGAAACTTCGTGGCCCAGGCGCAAAAGTCGGTTTTCTGCCTGGGCGTCTATTTTGAAGTGGCGTTAGAAGAAGTGGGGGTACTTTCGCTGAGGTCGACCCCTCAGATTGAGGATGTTTTTAGCAAAGGCCAGTTTAGGAGTACCCTAATTAAGTTAATAACAATGTACCTACCTATGTAGTTTAAGTTTAAAAAATTTGGCTCTCAAAAAAACTTTCAATTGTTGTACTGTTGATATTTGGCTCTGTTGACTAATGAGTTTGCCGACCACTGACAGCCTCAGGATCCATGGCCCCTTCGGTTTGCCCAGCGGCTTGAATAGGTCATTGCCCGACTGTACCACCCGCCCGCTGTGCAAGCCTTGTCTAGTTATAACTTCCCCATGCCTCAGTTTCCCCTTCTCAACATGGGGGGAGTAACAGATGTCTCTGTAGGGTTGCTGGCAGGGTTAAGTGAGGTCATCTGTGTAGCTTGCTCAGGTCTCTGGGTCCCTGACCTGAACAAAGCCGCCATGTACGCTGCCCAGAGATCTTCCCACAGTGCCCTGGGTTGGGGCTGGGGGCACTCATCCAGGCCACTGGGCCACCACTAAGGACTGCCCACCCTCCGCCTGCCTTCCCGTGACCTGACCTCCTGACCTGATCCCGGGGGAGGGACTGGGAGCCCTCACCTGGCGGACAGGTTACCCCATCCTCTCACTGCCCACAGGCAGGGCTGAGGGGCAGTCGGATTGTGTTGCTGGAGACCCAGGAGTCCCAGGAGGTTGGAGCAGGCAGCCCTGCTTGTACCATGTTCCTCTGTCCCCTGCTGCTTGCTTGGGTGCTGAGGCCTGGGACTGAGAGGGACCTGGTCTGGACCCTGCCCTCAGCGAGCCCAGGTGCCAAGTGTTGGTAGCCCAGGGCTGTGGGGGCTCAGAGAAGTTACTTGGTCCCTCAGGGAGGTGGGCAAGGGAGGTCCGAAGGAGGGGCTGCCTGATGTGTGTCTTCAGGAAGCGCAGGACTTGGCAATAAGACACCGAAGCAGGCAACAGACTGATGTATTTCAGAGGGAAGGGGGAGCGGGAAGACATTAACCAATGAACTTATGTGCCTGTATGCATAGCTCACGGACAGACAATAGTGCTGGGAAGGCCTGGGGAGGGAGGGGAGGTGGAGGGAGGTGGAGGGGGTTAGTGGGGGGAAAAGAGAGGACATCTGTAAACCTCAACTCTAATGGAAAAATAATAAAACGTTATTAAAAAAAAAGGCCTGAAACCCGGTTGGAGGGTGGAGGTGCCCCCACCTGGGATTGCAGGGAAGGGAGGGGCGTGCTGAGGCAGGGTGGAGGCGGTGCAGGCTGCTCCCTGGGTCCTTGGGGAAGCCGTGCTGGTGAATGGGCTGTGGGCGTGAGGCAGGCGGAGAAGCCCTGCGCACAGAGGGCTGGCTTGTCCTGAGTCACACCTGATAACAGCGACTGTCTACTGTTCATCGGCACTTAGTTCTCACCAGGCACTGTCCTAAGAGCGCCATGGTTTTTTAAAAATATTTTTATTGACTTCAGAGAGGAAGGGAGAGGGAGAGAGAGCTAGAAACATCCATGATGAGAGAGAATCATGGATCGGCTGCCTCCTGCAAGTCCCTCATTGGGGATCGAGCCCACAACCTGGGGATGTGCCCTTGACCGGAATCGAACCTGAGACCCTTCAGTTCGAAGGCCGACGCTCTATCCACTGAGCCAAACCGGCTAGGGCATAAGAGTGCCATGTTTTAACTGGCTGAATTGTACAATGAAACAGGGAGACGCAGAGGGGGCTGCTGAGGACCGGAAGTGGAGTAGCCAGGCCTTCTGGCCCCAGAGTCCTGCTGGCGCCCACCAGGCCACATTGCCAAAACTCTTCTGTCCGGACCCCAGCGAGAGAACCCGTGTGCACGTGATTGAAACACGGGGTCTCTGTAGTTGGATTCACTTGAAGGGAGACAGGCTTCTGTGTGCTCGTCCGTTCCATTAAGAAACAGAATTCTTCTTCCCCTGGGACAGGCCTGCAGGTGGGAGGCCCCCGGAGCCCTCTGGTTCCCCTACCTGCACCGTCTTTACATTCGTCTGATCCTCATGGGCAAAGTGGGAGACAGGTGCCGACACCGTCCTTGGTCTGTGGATGCAGGGACTGAGAACCAGGCAGCCAGCTCGCTCGGCCCGGTCTCGGGTGCAGTTCATGCTGGGGTTTGGAACTGGACTGTGTTGCTCCAGCCGGAAGGCCATTGGGCAGCAGAGCCGGGCCCAGCGTCCGGCCTGCCAGGTCTGCCCAGGCCTCTCCACGCTGCCTCGATGCAGCCAGGACAGTCCCAGCACCCATGTCGAGCCCCAGTCCCCCAGGCCTGGTTCTGTTTTGACTGAGAGGACAGGAGCTGCGATGGGCTCTCAGGGCCAGAGTCCCCCCTCTGCTTGGGTGCTGATTGGGTTAAGGTCCTTGTAGCCTTGCTCACCCAGGTTGGCAGCAGGGGGGCAGTGAGACTGTGGGCTGCAGCTGGAGGGTGGGTGGGGAGGCGGGTGGACGCCGGGGCTCTACCTGAGCCACCTCTTCAGCTGGGGTACGCCCACTGACCTTGGCCGCTCCCCTCCCCAGTACCAGGGCCAGGGGGTCATGAAGGAGACTTCGAGTCAGTGGTCTCTGAGCCTGGCCAGGAGGTCTCATCCGTTCTCATCCAGGGACAGGCAGAGAGCCCTGCCGTGATGGAGGTCTTAGTGACTCTTTGTCTTAACCTTCCGTGGCTCCCACTGCCACGAGAGGAAGGATGGAGGCTTGCTCTCCGAAGGCTGGCCGCAGCTTGCCTTTCTTGGGAGCTGTTTCCCATGGTGTTAAGTTAGGAGCTTCACATGGTGTCTGGCACACGGGAAGCACCCAGTGGGTATCAGCTGCTGTTATTAAATTCTTCCACAATCCTACGCCCCGTCCCCCACACCTGTGCTCATGGCCGCCCTCCAGCCGGGAACACCATCTCCGCCCGTTGCTGGAGTGCTTCTGTTCTTGACCCCGGGGTAGCCCGGCGGCTGCTTCCTCTGGGAAGCCACTCCCTTGTGCTCCCACTGCCCTGGGACCATCTCTGATCTGCGTTGCGTTCCGATGGTGACCTTTCTTCCTAGACTGTGAGCATCACAAGCTTTTATTAGTCATCTCCTAGGTGCCAGGCACTGGGTTTGGTGCTGGCACCCAGAGCTGAGGGTGTTTTTTCTGTTGGAGGAAACAGCAGGCCACGTGCAAGGTGCAGACAGTTGCTCACCGTTTGCTGGGGTCTGGGAGGGAGAGTTCGCTTTTGACCTGAGCTCTGAGGATGAGCAGAATTTGCCAGCCAGAGAAGAGGGGGCAGTGCGCTCCAGGCATTAGCACAGCAGGTGCCGTGGACCAGGGTTGGGGGGTGGGGTAGGGCGTGGGCGTCATGGCATACTTGGGGAATTGCCGTGGTTTTCCAAGGATGTTGAACTGAAGCAAAATGTTGACTGAACTCTAATTCCCATCCCCTTCTCTCTTCTCAGGTCTCTGGCCATACAAGTGTCTGGCCGGAGCCCCCCGGGGGGACCCGAACCCCAGGACAGAGGTCCAGATGGCCTGCCTCTCCTTGGGGACAGCTGGTCCGGGACGGTGGTGCGGAGGGTGCTCTCTGGGCCTGGGTCTGCGTCTGCCAGGGTGGAACCAAGAGAGGTGAGCCCCCCACCCACCTGCGGGCTGGGGGAGGAGTTAGTGCTTTCGCCAGGGCTGGATGCCTTCTGATTGGTGGATCTAGGTCACTGGGCCTAGATTGGCCAGGGATTGGCTACAGAGGAGGCAGGCTCACTGGTTCCCGGCTGGTTGCCCCACCTCACCCAGCATTAAGTGAAATCTGATTGGACAGGGACTGGGAGGTGGGGCAGAATGACAGCCCACCTGCTTTTAAAGGTGGGAAGGACCTGGCTGAACCTGCTGGGTGGAGAGACCCGTTGAAGGTAGCAGAGCCCGGCTGCCCTCGGAGGCGGAGGCGTCTGAATTGTGGAACATGGCTGGTTGCACACTCAGTCTTCCTCCAGAGCCAGGGCTGTCCTGCCTTTGGAAGCTGACTTTTCTCCCTCCCTGCCTGCGTTTTCTCCCAGCCAAGGGCAGAGGCTGCTGGCCCGGAGGGGGCCGGCCTGGAAGGTGAGGCCCAGCGGAGGACCTTGACCTGGAACCAGGTGTCCACACTCCCCTTCCTGATGGATTCTAAGGGTGAGTCTGGCCCGGGGCAGGGGCAGTGGTGGCTGGGGACTCACCAGGCCTACAGGGTCGGAGCTAAGGGCCCAAGAGAGGGCTCATCCAGCCCTGGGGATGGCACAGCTGAGGCCTGAGCAGGAGACTGTCCACCTCCTGACTCTTGGCGGAGCCCTGCCTTCCTGTCGCTGCCTCGTGCTGGCTGTCTGTCCTTGTGCCCTTCCTCTGTCCTCAGCGAGCAGAGACACCTGGGTTCGAGTCCTAGTTCTGTCCCGAGGGCGCTTGGTGGCCTTGGGCAGGTCCTGCTCTCTCTGGGCCTCGGACTCTCAGTTTAAGGGGAGGAAAGGGGTCCTGGTAGCTTGGGCTTTGCGAGGGTCACATCCGATGCCTGACTTCATCCTCCTCTTGTCCTCCCTGCTGCCCCCTGCCCTGTCCGTGCCCAGCTTGCCAGTCCTTCCACGAGGCCCTAGAAGCCTGGGTGAAGGGGCTGGGCGCCGAGCCCTTCTACATTCGAGCCAACCTCACTCTGCCCGAGCGGGCAGACCCCCACGCCCTGTGTGTGAAAGCCCAGGAGATCCTGCGGCTGGTGGACCCGGTGTACAAGCGGCGGCAGGAGTGGTTCTGTGCACGGGTCGACCCCCTCACGCTGCGGGACCTGGATCGGGGAACAGTGCCCAATTATCAGAGGTGACCCAGAGCCAGGAGCCTGGGGAGGGGGTCCCATTGGGAGCTGGGACCGGGGTGGGGCCTCTTTCTCCCTTTGCAGCCCCTCACTATCCTCTGGAACAGGACGGGGGGCTAGAGGAGAGGCTGTGAGGGGTTCCCTGTCGCCATACTAACATATGACAAGACTCCCCCCTGTCCCCCCAGAGCCCAGCAGCTCCTGGAAGCTCAGGAGAAATGCCTGCCCTCCAGTCGGCCTCGAGGGCCCCGCAGTAATGTAAGCAGGGCTGCCCCAGCTGGTGAGGGGCTGGGGAGAGGGGTTTCGAAGGGCGGGTCCAAAAGGGAGAGGCCGGGCTTCATTCTCTGGGGGAGGAGAGGAGGGAGGCTCCCACCTCGATCCCTCATCCGTACTTGGTTGACATCTGTGTGCCAGCAAGTGGAACAGCAGGACTCACGCCCAGGGTAGTTGAGCGATTAAATGAGATAGCGTGTGCCTCGTGCTCACACGGTAAGCACTTGACAAAACAATAGTCATATCCCCTGTTCCAGCCCCTGGAGAAGGACTGGGCCGTGTGATCCTCCCCTGTTCACCTGGGCAGAATGCGTTGCCATAGTAACGCGAGAGGCTCTGGCACTAGAGAGGGGGTTGAGAGCGCAGGCTCTGGAGCCAGACTGGCTGGATTTGAATCCCAGCTCTGCCACTCAATCAGCCATGCGACCTTGGACAACCACCTGACCCTTCCTGGAGGCTGTGTCCTCGGCTGTGAAATGAGGGGCTACACTGCCTGCTTGGCCCCTCGGCATAGAAGGCTTTCGTGGTTCATGCACATCTGTGGCCTAGTTAATATTTGTCACATTGTAGGCTTTTGATACCTGTCAGCTGTTGGTATGATAAGTGCTGCTGTTGTTGGTTTCATTAATCTTCCTCCCCAAGGCCATATTGCGAGTTCATTGTGAGAGACCCCAAAGTTTCTCTCTTGTGACATTAGGTTCCTATAGTCTCTGGGCCTCAGTTTGTCCATCTGTAAAATGGGGGTGGGTACACCTCACTTCTTGGGTCCTTGCCTGGGCAGGGACAGGAGACCTGGTGGCATGGCCCCCCCTCTGCCTGGGGTTTCATGTACTCTCCCCTCTCCCCAAGGGTGGAATAAGGCAGAGTTCACAGGGGCCCCTCTTTCCCTCTGCCCTCCCAGCTGAAGAAGCGAGCTCTGGACCAGCTGCGGCTGGTGAAGCCCAAGAATGCCGGCAGTCCTGCCGGGGACTCCCCGGAGCAGCTGCTGCTGGAGCCCTGCTCAGGTGAGGGCACAGGTGTGAGGGCGCAGCCTGGGCTGCCTGTGGAGTCCAGGAGTGCACCTCTGGGTGTCCTTTGGCCTGGAAGGGCCTGTTGTGAGGGTGCCAGTGGGGCGGGGCCTGAGAGACAAGGCTCCCTTGGTGGGAGATGGGCCTCCAGGTTTGAGAGAGCCGGTTGGTGCAGGAGGCGCATGGGTCCTAGTGTGTTCGTGGTCTGTATGAGTGCGGGGCACACATGAGCTCGGGCCTGTTCTCGTCTGGCAGAGTAGGTGTAGCTGTGCCATGAGGACCCCAGAATAGATTCCTGGAGGCAATAGGGTGAGGCTTTGGGCCAGATCAGGGGGAAGGGGCTGGGAGAGCCCACATGGGAGAATAGCAATTCTGAGGGGCAAGGAGACGAGGATGGTGAGGAAGACGTGCAGGAAGGGAGATTGTTTAAACCGAGTCCTTCAAGGAGGAAGAGGAGTTTGTTCCAGGCAGAAGGCACAGCTTGTCCTGGCCCGTGTGGCTCAGTTGGTTGAGGGTCATTCCTGGCACCAAAGGGTCATCGGTTTGATTCCTGGTCAGGGCACATGCCCAGGTTTTGGGTTTGGTCCTAGTTGGGGTGTGTAAGGGAGCAATTGATGGGTGTTGCTCTCTCTCCCCCTTTCTCTAAGAAATCAACAAAAAACATGTAAGAAAAAGAAGGCACAGCCTGTGCAAAGGCCCGGTGGCATGGCTGTGCATGTGTGTTTGGAGGACATGGGTATCAAGTGTCAGAACTGTCATTCTTGGTCCACAGGACACAGTGGTCCCCCACCCCTTTGAAGCTTACTGCCTGTTGGGGATGGGGAGAGGCAGATACCTGTTGGCCACATCATCTCATTCATGGACATGATTGCAAAGTGTGACACTTGTCATGGAGGAGAACTGGTGGGGCCCTGTGACAGGAGGCAGCTGAAGGGCGGTCTGGGTCTGTGTAGTAGGAGGGGAATCTGTGATGGGGTGCAAGGCTTGCGGCTCCCAGGCTCTGGCGGGGCTGGGTCACCCACAAGGAGGATGTGGTCTTTTTCCTAAGAGTCATGGGAAGTTGACACATTGAAAAAATGAGAGTTAGAAGATCTGACTTTAGTTTTAAAACCTCTCTCTGGCCTGGCCAGTGATTGAGCATCGACCTGTGAACCACGAGATCATAGTTGGATTCCCAGTCAGGGCTGTAGGCTAGATCCTCAGTAGGGGGTATGCAGCCGATCCATGATTCTCTTTCATCATTGATGTTTCTCTCTCTTTCTCTCTCCTTCTCTCTTCCTCTTTTGAAATTAATAAAAATATATTAAAAAAAAATAAAACCTCTCTCTGGCTGCTGAGAGGACAATGGCCTCTAGGGGGCGAGAGGGAGGCAGAGATTAGGGAGGAGTCTACTGCAGAAGTCCCAGGGAGGACTGGACAGCGTGTGTGTGTGTGTGTGTGTGTGTGTGTGTGTGTGTGTGTGTGTAGTGGGGAGGGGTCAGAAGGTGGGGGGCATCCGCAGGACTTAAGAAGGGGAAAAAAAGATGGGGGGCATGAGAGGAGGTGATGGGGTTTTGAATGTTGAGGGGGCTGGCGCCCTGGAAAAGGGGAGCTGGGGCCCTGCCTGCACCCTCATCTCTTCTGCGCCCGCCCCTGCCACAGATCCGGAGTGGAGCCTCAAACCCTACAGCCTGGTGCGGCCGCTGCTGGTGCCCTCCCTGCGGCCCGTGGTGCTCTTGCCCGAGTGCCTGGCACCTCGGCTCATCCGCAACCTGCTAGACCTGCCCAACTCCCGGCTGGACTTCCAAGTGTGCCCAGCGGGTGAGCCTTTGTGCCCGGAGAGGGGAGGGCAGGGTGGCGCTCTGGGGCAGCCAGGCCCACTGGCCGTGGGTTCTGGCTTCTTCCTGCTCTCCAGAAAGCCTGTCTGGGGAGGAACAGTGCGCACCCTCAGCTCCCGGAGCCCCCAAGGCCCGTCCTGCCACCCCTGGGCTGGGCAGCAGGATTCGTGCCATCCAGGAGTCTGTTGGGAAGGTAGGTGCTGGGGCGGGGCCGCTCTGGGCAGTCCCTCCCATTCTGTGGGCCTTTCCTCACCTGTGAATGGCTGGTACATCTCACCTATCTGCCTCCGTGTGCGCAGACTCTCCACTGCCCTGGCAGCGGCTGGGACAGTGGGGGCGGGGGCGGCATTAGCTTGATCCTATAGACCTGGAGGCTGAGGTGCGGAGAGGCAAAGTGACTGATTTCCCCAGGTCTCCTGCCTGCCCTCCTCATTCCCTCACTGCCAAGGTCCCTGTGGACGGGGAAGCAGGACCCTGTAGGGGCGGTGCTGCGGAGCCCAGTGCTGGGGGGTGTGTGGGGTAGGGACGTTAGTGCCTCTGGGCCGGAGTAAAATGTAACCTTGACCCCCCGAGAAGAAGCACTGCCTGTTGGAGCTGGGCACGCGGGGCGTGCGGGAGCTGGTCCAGAATGAGATCTACCCCATCGTCATCCACGTGGAGGTGACCGAGAAGAATGTCCGGGAAGTCAGGTGAGGCCGGACCCGAACTCCTTTCTGGGGGGGTCTGTCTCTGTCTGGCTCTCTCTCCCTCTGTGTCTTCTCCCTCCTTCTTTGCCAACTGTCTTTTTGTCTTCATCTGTTTGTCCTTTCTCTCTAACTCCGTATCTTTGTCTCTCTGCCCCTCTCTGCCCACTGCCCACTCCCCACTCTCTTCTCTCGCAGGGGTCTGCTGGGCCGGCCGGGCTGGCGGGACTCGGAGCTGCTTCGGCAGTGCCGCAGCTCGGAGCAGGTGCTCTGGGCGCTGCCCTGCTCCTGGGTGCGGGTGCCCGCCCACGCGTGGGCCCACTCGGAGGAGCTGGCCAAGGTTGTCCGCGGCCGCATCCTGCAGGAGCAGGCCCGCCTCGTGTGGGTGGAGCGAGGCAGCAGCAGGGGCTGCAGCAGCAGCAGCAGCGAGGCCTGAGGGCCCCTTCGGGGCGGCGACTTCCTCGCACACTCAGATGCCCCCAGGAGACCCTGCTGTCTGTGGCGGAGCTGAGTGTGCGACATCCTCCGTGTCCTGAGCCTTCCCAGGCCCTTGGGCTCTGCTCCGGGCTGTCACCGAGGGATCCTGCCGGAGCCGGAGCCGGAGCCTGAGCGGGAGCCCTCCGACAGCTTCCACCCTCCGGCCCTTACCTGCTGCTTGGGGCCTTCCTGCGAGCCCTCCGGTCTCCGCGTCCCCACTTGTGGGTCTGTGTCCCTCCGTCACTGCCCACCCGAGCGCCTGGGTTCGCACTACTGTGTACTGTTGTGTACACCCAAGTTCTCACGGGCAGGCTCCTGTCTGCCTGTCCCAGGCACTCGAGGTCTCCCAGGCTCTCAGCCTGTTCTGCTCACAGGAGCCCCGAGCCCGCCCTTTGTGACCCCCCCCCCCCCCGTCAGTCACATTTCTGTGTGTAGCTCCACACGTGGGCATTGTAGCTGCCCCGGTCCACTGTCACCTGTGCCCACGTCTCGTGTCTTCAGGTCACACACGTGTCCGTGGTTCTCTCTCCTGTGTAAATGTCATGTCCCCCACCCCCATGACACTCGGGCACTTAACACGCGTGTGTTCCCGGTGAGCACACCCAGGACCATGTTCTCACAGCACCTCCTCCCTGCCCTGCCGCCTCCCAGAGGGACAGGTGGGGAGGGGCCCAGCTGCTCCGGCACCAGAATGTACGGCTCGTTTGAATGGGCCCTTTTCACTCAGAAGCTGCACATTATGGAACATTAAACAGTTTGTCATAGAAGTTGGTGGCCTTTTGCTTGTTTGCATCCCTAGTGGGGGTGGGGGCACACTTGTCTCCACCTGCAGCTCAGCTTGGTACCACCTTTCAGGTTCCCTCTTGCCCTTGGGGAGAGTCAGATTTCACTCCTGACTCATCCCCAGAGCCGCCCGCCATCTGTGCTGGCATCACCTTACCCGCCCCCGAATGACCGGAGAAGGGCCCCACAGATGGGCCACCCCCACAGTGAGCCCTGCTTGTGTCTGATCATCAAAGGAGTGTCCCCTCGGGTGGGGACACTGAAGCCAGCGGAGCGTGGTCTTGGGTTTAAGGGCCTGGCTGCGGAGTCCAGGAGACCAAGAGCAAGCCTTCAGTGTGCAGTCGGGTCCCTGAGACCTCCTCCAGAGAGCCATCAGTCACCTCCGCTGGGAGAAATCCTGGCAGGCCTGCTGGAGGAGGTGCCACTTGAGTTTGAGGTGACTTCTTTCTTCAAGAAGCATTTATTGGACTTGTGTGCCTATGTGCTGTCCTAGGTCCTCCTATGACTGTGTTCTCGTTAACGGTAATGAACTTGGGCTGGCCCCTGGGAGATTTTGGGGACGTGGGTTAGTAGGTGGAGAAAACCTCAAGAACAAAGACTCAGAGGCAGAAAATGGGTTGAGTTTGGCCGCTGGGAAGCGGTAGGAAATGAGGCTGGGATGTTTGGGGGGGGGGGGGGCTGCCTAACTCTTAGTGTCCTTTGAGGTCTGGCTCAGACACCGTCTCCATGAAGCCTGCTTGATTCTCTCCGCCTTGGGGCTTCTCCTTGGCCATGCCCTGCCCTGCCTTGTGGCAGGAAGGTGGGCCTCTGTGGGTGGCTGTGGCCTCCTTGGGGGAGGAAACTGGGTCGTCTCATTTGGGTAAATGAACCTCTCCCCTTGCTGTGTGCCTCGTCCATGGTCTAAGGACCCACAAGTCTGGGTGAAGAGGTGGGAACCTGGGAGCTCAGCTGCCTTTGCCTGGTCCCATGTTAGGGGACCTCCCATGGGGTGAAGGAGTCCACGAATCCTTTACTTTTTACCACGTCTTACGTTGTCCTCGTTTTATAAATGATGAAAGTGAAGTTCAGAGGTGAAGTCACCTGCCCGGAGTTACACAGCCAGGATTTGAACCCTGGTCTGTGTGGCAGGAAGCCTGGTGATGCTGTTCTGGGAAGATGAGCTGTGAAGGGGGCTGGCATGGGGCTAGCCCTTAGTAGGGTGATTCAAAAGGGTTGGTTCCAGCCCTGCTGGCGTGGCTCAGTGGTTGAGTGTCAACCTGTGAACCAGGAGGTCACAGTTCAATTCCTGGCCCCAGCTCTCTCTCCCCTCCTTGTTGGTCCCTGATGCCTGCCAGACTTTTGCTTTTGCGGGCTGGGTCCCTGCCTCACTCCCTTCCTTCCTTCAGGTCTTTACTTAAATGGTAAATGTCACCTTCGCCCTGAGGCCTTCCGAGACCACTTTATTTAAGTTGCGATCCTGTCCTGACTGATGTGGCTCTGGTGGTGGAGTGTCCTCTCTATGCACCGGAAGGTCAGGTTGCTGTTCTATTTCCAGTCAGGGCACATGCCCAGGTTGTGGGTTCAGTGCCCAGTTGGGGTGCGTGCAGGAGGCAGCCAATCAATGTTTTTCACATCCATGTTTCTCTCTCTCCCTCCCCCTTCCTTTCTAAAATTCAATGAAAACATACTAAAAAAATAAATAATAAGTAAATCCCAATCCCTTCTCTCCAGCTGCTTCCCAGGCCCCTTTTCTACTGTGTTCTCTCCATAGCACGTTCATCTCCCCGCGCCTTTACATTTTACTTACCTATTGCCTGTCTTCCTCGTGAGACCATCAGGGCAGAGATTTCTTCTCTTTTATTCGCCGAATCTACAGTGTCTAGGACAGTGCCTGGCACATAGCAGCTCAATAAATATTTATTAATTACATATAAGGAAGTACCGCGTGGCTGTGAACTGAGCTGGCTGAGCTGGGCCTGCTATGGCCCAGCCCTACATTAGGACTGGAGAGAGTGTAAAGGAAAACCAATCTTTTTTTTTTTTTTTTTACTATTTTTATTAATTTCAGAGAGGAAGGGAGAGGGAGAGAGAGAAACAGCAATGGTAAGAGAGAATCATTGATTGGCTGCCTCCTGCACGCGCCCTACTGGGCGTCGAGCCTGCAACCTGGGCATATGGCCTGACCAAGAATCAAACCATGACCTCCTGGTCCATAGGTCGACACTCATCCACAGAGCCACACTGCCCGGGCCATTTTAGATCCTTCTGTGCCTTATGTGTTCAGCTCTAAACTGGGAGTAGCCATCCTAGTGCTGTTGTGAAGACCAAAGGGACTGAGCCAACCACTGTGGGAGCCCAGGAAGTTGGGAGGGCATCAGAGAAGGCTTCCTGGAGGAGGGAACGTGGGTGAGGATGCCAGGGATGGGGGAGAGCATCCAGGAGGAGGAACCTTGAGCAAAAGCTGGGATTCCGGAGAGCAGGGCACCACAACACAATGGGTGTTGAATGAGCTCAGCGGGCCCGTCTCTGGGGAGCGGGCAGGCAGGAGGGCCCCTCCCTTCCACCCTGGCACGGAGGGTTTGTTGTTGCCCCACCCCCACTGCAGCAGCTGGCAGGAATGGGGCTGTCCCTTCAGCTGCCTCTTTAGCTGCCACCTCTGGGGCTCCCATGGGCCGGCCCCGCCCCTTGGGCTGCGCTGGAGGGAGAGGCGGGGCCAGCAGCCCCAGAGCGGGGCGGGCTGCGGTGGGGAGGGTGGCCAGAGCAGGTGGAGGGCTGGCGGAGCAGCGGCAGAGGGGCTGCCTTGGCTTGGCCTCTGGGGCCCGAGCTCCAGCGCCCAGCTCTCCCCTCCTTGCTGGCCCCCGATGCCTGCCAGACTTTTGTCTTTGTCGGAGCCCCTCCCCGTCCAGTTGGGATTTGGGGGCCGAGCTGTCTGGGGTCCCGGGGCCAATGCAGTGCCGGCTCCTCCGGGGCCTGGCAGGAGCCCTCCTCACCCTCCTGTGCTTGGGGCTCCTCTCCCTTCGCTACCACGTGAGCCGGTCCCCGAAGAGCGTGCAGGAGACCCCCGGGCTGAGCCCACCGAGCCCGCCGCCCCCGGAGCTGCAGCTGCAGGACGTCTACATCGCCGTCAAGACGACCCGCGCCTTCCACCGCTCTCGCCTGGACCTGCTGCTGGACACGTGGGTCTCCAGGACCAGGGAACAGGTGACACGCTGGTGACCGTGGGCCCCAGGAGTGGCCCTGGCCTGCGGGACTCTAAGGCTTTTCTATGGGTTGGGGTCCCTGGCAGCCTTGGGGAGGAGCGGCTCCCCCACCTGCCCACTCCCCCTTCTTCCCAGGATCCGGGGGCTCCTGCGGTCCTGGCTGTGCCCTCCCTGGCCCTGGGGTGCATTACCCCTCAGGTCCACTGCTCCGTCTCTTTTAGGGGCCAGGCTGGGCTCATGCCCCTGACTTCTGGGTCCCCCCTGGGATCCTCTATTCCCTGGCTGTGCCAGTGCCGGCTTCACTCCTGCCCAGCCTGGCCCAGCCTGGCACTAGGGGCAAGGGTGGGTGTTGGGCAGCGGGGGCAGAGGCCTCGAAGGGGTCCTGGCTGACATGAGCCTGGCCAGGCTGCCCCAGTGCAGGCCCTGGTGCTGTGAGAACAGGGGTGAGCCCCTGAGGAGGGGACCATCTGGTGGGGCCTGTCGGGAGAGGGCGGAATGGGAGGCATCCTCTCAAAATTCCCAGCAGCCCCTGCACCCATGACTCTGGTGCCCAGGGTGTGCCAGGGGAGCGCCCTGACCCCCTGGCTCTTTTCCTGTGGGGCAGTTTCCGAGGGAGGGAGGAGGGGGACATGCTGTGACTGTGGAGGCTGAGGCAGAGGTCGGGGTAGGGCCGGCTCAGCATGTGGGATCGTGTGTGCGTGTGTGTGCATGTGTGCGCATGTGTGTGCACTGACACGTGTGGAGCCAGTGTCAGTGCTAGACATGTTGACAAGATGCATGTGGGTGACGGCATGCCTCTGTTTCCCCCAGAGGCGGCTCCACAAGCTGAGTCCCTCCTGGTTCTTCCCTTCCCCTCAACCATCGCCCTCCTCAAGCAAAGTCAGTGGCTTGGGTGTTGGGAACCATCTCTGAGGAAGGTGAGGGGGGTCAGATTTACACACGCACACACACGCATGTGCTGTCTCCATTTTGGCGGTGGCTCAGGGAAGGAAGTGACTGAGCCTTCAGAGGGGCGTGGGGACTCCTGGGGACCGAGGATGGGGGCAGGTGATGCCTGGAAGAGGCCAGGGCCCCCTGGGGAGAGGATCCCCCCCCATCCCAAGTTCCTGGCCCTGATATCCTAGATCCTTGGATTGACACTTCCACAGGGGGCCCCCAGCACCCCAGGCTCTTCCTTGCTCACCCGCCCCCCCCCCCCCCCCCCCACACACACACACACAGCTTCTTGTCTGGGGGAAGTTCTGGTTCTACTGGCGGAAGTCGCTGAGCCTGGCCTCCCCGCAGACCTTCCTGTTTATGGCGCTGAGTCTGTGTGTGCCCGGGAGTGTGGCCTCACGTGGTCTGAGGCCCCTTCCTGTCTTGTCTGGATCACCATGGGGGTGCCCTTGCCCCGGATGAGGAAACTGAGGCCCAAGGGGAGGAAGTACTCGCCTGTGTGTCACCCTGAAGCCCAGTGGGACCAGCCCCCACCTCTTGGCCAGGGCCCTGTCTTCTCTGCCGAGACCCAGGATCCAGCTCCCTGGTCACTGAGCTGCAGGAAAGGGTCCTGGGCCTCCAGTTGGGGCGGCTGGGCCTGGCAGGACCAGGCTGGGAGAGGAGAGGCAAGCAGCCAACCCCTCTGTGTCCCCAGTTCAATCCCAGGTGCCACCCCGGCAGCCAGGGGGAGAACCCGCCCAGCATCCAAGGGGCCGCGAGTCAGAGCCATCACTCAATCTAACCCTCCCAACGACCCCACGTGGTAGCCATTATGGGGTCGGCGGCCCTTCCTAGTGTCCCCACAATGTGCCACCCTGGCATGGAGAGGGTTTCGAGCTGAAGCATGCTCAGGAAGAGGCTCAGACCCGCCTTTCGTGCCTAAGGAGACGGGGAGAGAAAAAGCTGGCCCGGGGCAGGAGCCTTAGCACAGCCACCTGGCGCGTGAAGAGCTCTTCCCTAGATTCCCCTCGTGTCCATCGCTGGTGGCCCTGCAGGAATCTGTTTAGCAAATGTTTGCTCCTTCTCATCTAGCTCTGAACTGCCTGCCTCCGCCTCTCAGTCCAGAAGCCTCCCTATTTGGGGAATTTTCATGCCTCTGTGAATTCCCGGTGTGCAGGTATCAACATTTGATTTTCTCCTGTTAATGTGCTGTTTGAACGATCAGACCGGCCAGAAGAACTAAAGGGGTGAGAGGAGAGTGTCCCTGGCTGACACTCTGGATATTCCCATTGCACAGGCGAGGAAAATGAGCCCAGTTAACAGGGGTGGGAGATGGACTCACTCAGCAGAACTCCCGCCCTCGCCGGAGCCCCGAATCTTGTCTTTCAGGGCAGAGGTGAAAAAAGGAAGGAGGCTCAAACTGAGGAAGAGGAGGGAGCGGGGCAGGGAGACCCACTTTCGCTGCCTCTCCAGCCCTTGGCTCCTCTCTCGCTGTGACCTTGGCAAAGCCCTCCCGCTTCCAGCCCTCAGTTTCCCCATCTGCCCAGGACGGGAGGGTCTTGGCACCTCTCGCAGCTCTGCCATCGGGAGCTGGCCCGAGCTGGTTAACTTCAGGGCTGGGCGCCCACCCCAGCTGGTTAAGGGCGGCCGGGCGGTGGCAGGTGGGCCTTTGTGGCAGCGGCTGGGGCTCGTGCGCGTCCTTTGTCCCAGGCAGCAGGGGTGGGCTGGGGGAGGCGTGTTCTGTGACCCAAGAGGAGCCTTTCTCTTCCCCACAGTCCCCTCCAGGGCTGGGGCGGGGCTGGGGGGGAGGGGTGGGTAGCAGCGCAGCCCCTCACTTCCCTCCTCTGGAGCAGATGGCCCTCCAGCCACCCCTCCCCTTCCCCCAGCAGGCTGCCTGTCCCTTTGTTTTCCTGCGAGATTTTAGCCATTGTCGGGTCCCCTCTTTAAACAAATCAAATGCAACCCTTGCTCAGAGGACACTGCCCGCTGCCCTGTGCCAACCTCAGGGTTCCCATGCGCCTGCCCAGCCCCCAGGCCCTGCTCTGGGACCCCTCCGTTCACTCCCGCTTCCTGGCCCTCCACAACATTCCCTGGCCCATTTGGCTCCGGCTCCACACTCTAGGAGAGTCCCACTATCTGGTGGCAGAAGTCCGCCAGGGCGCGGGGGAAAGGCCGGGCTGATCTACTGGCTCCCTCGGGGGTTGTGTTGAAAACAGACATGGGGTTGGGGCAGGAGGAGCAGGGAGCGTGGGGGAAAGGTGACGCGGAAAGCAGGCAGGAGGTGACAGGGAGGGTGGGCTGGACCGCAGTGAGGCCTGGGCTGTGAGGCTGGTGGGGAGAAGCTGCATCTTGGGTCATTTAAAGGTTAAAGGTTAGCTGACAGACTGGATTGGGGGGAGGGTGTGAGAGAAAGAGAGGAGGCACAGTGACCCCAAGGTGTTGATCTCCGAATGATGGGGAGACCAGGAGAAAGTACAGATCCGGGGAGCTCGGAGCTCAGGCTTGAGGCTCTGAGCCTGAGGTGCCCCCCCCCCCCCCACCCGGGTAGCCGGGATTTGGGAGTAGGGAGTGGCCCCAGGCCTGTGGGTTTGAATCCCGGCTCCACTTGCTAACTGCCACATGCCTTGGTCCTTTACGTCGCCTCAGTTTTGCCGTCTGTGGGGGGGACAGACGGAACACCGGTCTCCATGTTTAGTCGGGACCAGGAGTGTGAAAGGCCCTGGTGGGGGCCTGTCCACCTGGGAGAGCTGCATGGGGACAGGATGCAGGATTTCTGAGATGCGTGGCGCCCCCACACTCCACAGGGGTTTGCGTGGCTGTGAAGCTGGGGCTGCTCCCTGAGTGACGCAGTAGCCCAGCTTGGGGTCTTTTCACGCAGTCTGTCTCCTGACGCTGTGTAGGGTTGTGTATATGTGACTGAGAAGGAGCCCGGTGGGACTCTGTGTTTTGTGTGTGTGTGTGTGTGTGTGTGTGTGAGTGTGTGATTCTGCCAGGGGCGTGTGACCGACAGGGTCCCTGTGGGTGCTGGTCTGTGAAGGGCCGCGTGAGTGAGAGGGATGGGTGGGTGCACACAGTGAAGCTGCGTGTCTGCAGAAGGTGGCTTGTGGAGGGAACCAAGGTGTTGCCACCCTGTGGCTGCTCTCTGGGACAGGGATTTGCAGCTGTTGATGAAGAAGCAGACCCAGAGGGGCCTCGCCCCTCCCCCTTTCCTGCCTGCCTTCGGTGGGGGCCTTGGCTCAGTCACCTTAAGAATCTTCACCTCACAGTTCCCCAGACACCTGCTGGGTCCGCTGCTGCTGTTGAGCTGCAGGATTGTCCGGCCAGGGGTGCTCTGCTCCTCCTTAACTACCTGCAAATGGCCCTTTCTCACGCCTGAAATCCAATGCCTCCCCTTTCTCCTTCCTCCAAAATGTCTTATCTACCCAATGCTGCCCCACTGTGTTTGAAACTCATGGCTCTGTGGATTCCCCATGCACATGTATTAAAACCAAGATTTTCTCCTATGGCTTTCTCTCTGTTAATTTGGTTACTAGCCCAGCTAGAAGAAGGTAGAAGGTGGGAGGGAAAGTATCACTATTTCTTTAGCCCCCGCAGCTGTGTGTGTGTGTGTGCAGCATGGGGGTGTCGCTGAGAAGGTCAGGTTGTCCCAAGGGAGAGTGTGACTGGGCGAGGGTGTGTGCCCCTCCCTGAAGGAGCAGCGGGGTCTGCTGTGTGTATCTACCTGGCCGGGTGGACCCTCGGGCTGCAGGCACCCCTCCCCGCCTCCCACTACCCCTGGCGGAGCCCCATCCTGACTCTTCCTTCTTCTTCCCAGACGTTTGTCTTCACTGACAGCCGGGATGAAGGCCTCCAGGAGAGACTGGGTAACCGCCTGCCTGGGGGGTGGCTGCCCCTGGCCTGGGAGTCCCCGGAAAACAGGGCTGCCTACTCTTGGCCTGTGGGGATTCCCCTTGGCCCCAGAGCAGAGCCAGCTTCTTCCCCGGAAATGGGTGTGGGTGTGGGGAGGGGCTGTGCTGGACAAGTCCATCAGCTATGGGGTCCCGGGCAGGCCAGCCCTCCCTGGCCTCAGTTTCCCCGTGTGTGAAATGGGAGTGGTGGACTGGCCTTGCTCCGCCCTGTCACGGGGCCTGTGTGCAGAGCTGTGGGGAGGAGGCGGGCAGGGGCCTTACACTTGTCCTCCCTTCTCCAGGGCCCCACCTAGTGGTCACCAACTGCTCTGCGGAGCACAGCCACCCAGCCCTGTCCTGCAAGATGGCTGCTGAGCTGGATGCCTTCTTGGCCAGTGGACTGCGGTGAGTGCGTCTGGGTCTCTGAGGGCAGGTGTAACCTTCGCCTCAGGCCACTTCCTGAACGGGGTGTTGTGCCAAAACAGTGACGTCACCTGGGTCCTGTGAATTTCGTCGTGTAAGGCCTCCTGTGGTCTGTCTTTGGGCAGACTGTCCAGGTTCAAATCCTGCCATTCACTGGCTGTGTGACCTGGGGCAAGTGTCTTAACCTTTCTGAGTCTTAGTCCCCACTGGTTAAATGGGCAGATCTGCTTCAGGAGCTTACACAGATGCTGCCTGGCACAGAGCCACCCCCACCCGGTAACTGTTTATTGATTGACTAGAGGCCTGGTTCACGAAATTCGTGCGGGTGGGGGGTAGGGGCGGTGTGGCCCTCAGCCTGGCTTGCACCCTCTCACAGTCTGGCAACCCCCTCCCTCATCCATTGCCCCACAGAGGGAGGCCCCGCCCACCCACCACAGCACTGCTGCAGGGTAGCCAGGGCCTCCCTCTTTGGGGCAATGGATCACAGGGCTCTGCGATCCATTGCCCCCAAAGAGATAGGCCCTGCCCACCCGGCCAGGGCTCCGGGATGGATTGCCCCCTCCTACCTCCCGCCCCGCAGAGGGAGGCCCCGCCCACCAGCCCGCTGGTCTGTGGCCTGGGCCTCCCTTTTTGGGGCGATCATGGGGCAATGGCAGGACTCCCGGCCAATTGCATCGCACCTGCCTTGGCTGGCCTGGCAGCAGCGGGTGTCATAGCGTGGTCATCCGGATGGTTGCCAGCTGTTTGGCCGTTCGGTTGATTTGCATATTAAGCTTTTATTATTTAGATTATTATAGATTATGGGGGCACAGCGGCTGGCAGCCCTTGGGAAGCCCCCTCCAAGCTCGTTGTCACCCTCCCATCCCACAGGTGGTTCTGCCACGTGGATGATGACAACTATGTCAACGCAAGGGCGCTGCTGAAGCTGCTAAAAGCCTTTCCGCAGACCCTGGATGTGTATATAGGCCGGCCCAGCCTGAACCGGCCCATCCACGCTGTGGAGCCGCAGCCCCACAATCGCACGGTTGGTCGGTCGGTCCCTCCCTGGCATCTTCGGGCCCTGGCCACCAGCCAGGGGCCAGCCTGGACTGTGGGGTTTGGGGTGGGGCCAGGGCGAGGCGGTGGGTTTTCTGGGTCTCGCTGTGTGTTAAGCTGGTTGCTTTACCTCTGACCCTCTGTGGAATGGGGAGACTGAGCTCATGCCAGGAAGGCAGAGAGACAAGGTCGGGCCTTGGTCACGGGGGAGCAGTGGGGATGAGCTGGGCTCCTAGCCACCTGGTGCGTCGTGTGGTTGTACAGGTTGTTCAAATGCGAATACTGCCGGGCTGGCTGGCTAACCTCCCAGGCCTCAGCCCCTGAACGCTCCCCTCCCCTAGGGCCCCCCTCCCTTCAGACTTCACTAACCTGCGACTGGAGAGCTGACCCCTGACATAACAGGGCCCCCAGCTCCAGCTTCCGCTCCGGCCTGGGTGGACACTGATTAGGGTTCCCAGGTTGAGAAAACAAATAAACAAAACCAGATACATGTTAAATTTGACTTTCAGATGAGCAGAGAATTTTTGAGTACAGGTATGTTGCCCGCGTTTCCACCTGCCCCAGGACGCCACTGGGGGTTCTGTGTGGGGGGCCCAGGCCTCCAGGGCTCCCTGGGCCCAGGTAAAGGCAAGTTGTGCTTCTCTGGAGGCAGCGTCTGCAGCAGGCGCTGGGCCCGCATGGGGCTGTCTCCTCCCTCGGTCACCATCTGCTTCATTAGGCAAACCAAGAGAGCAAGCAACACAAAACCTTAATTATCAGCAGCTAATCAGCCTCCGAGTCCTAATTAAATCCTCCGGGGCCCCAGGGTGTGTGTATGTGAGTTGATTTCAGGTGAGCTGAGGGGTCCCCCAGGCTCCCACACCACCTCACCCCTGACCTCAGAGGTGGAGAGCTCTGCTCTGGAGCCGGACTCCCTGGGTTCACTCACCAGCCCTGCCACCTCTTGGCTTCATGACCTTGATTGAAGTCTCCTTGCCTCGCTGTGCCTCAGTTTTCTCATCTGTGAAACGGGTGGGAATAGTCTCTTCCTCATAGGGTTGAGAGCAAAAAAAGAGAGAGAATCAAGTGGCATTTATCCAAATGCTTGGAATGGGAGCTGGTATGTAATAGACACTAGTAAGTGTTAGCAGTCGGTACCCAACGCAGCCTTCATCTCTGAGCGGGTTCAGCCCCCTGCGGGGCACATGCAGGCCCAGTCCCTAACAACGTGCATGAATGCCCTCCGGCACACACCCCACCCGTGGGATGCCAGGACTCCGCCCCCAAGTTTCCCAGCCTGTTCAGAGCCTGGGACCAGCCAGTGTGGGACAGAAAAAAGGGCAAGATTGCTGGCTTGGGGTTAGTCCCAGCGCTGGGACCTCAGGCAAGTGACTTCACTTCTGTGCATCTTGGGCTCCTCATCTGCGCATAGCCCTCGGCACAGCCAGTGCTCCGGGCCCGGCAGTTACAGTGTTACTGCTGGTGTGACTATAATTACCATCAATTCATTAAACAAGCATCTATTGGGCACCTCCTGTGTGTTAGGTCCTTAAGAAGCCATTCATTTCGCCTTGTTGAGCCCTGACCTCCCTGTAGGAGGGCAGTGTTCCCCGAGGTCAGCTCACAGAGGTTTTAGGAGGATGCTCCGGGCCAGGGGAACCGTCCGATTTAGAACTTAGAGCCAGTGTCGTGCTCACAGGTGACAAATCAGGCCCAGGGAGGGGCAGTGACTTTCTTAAAGTGGGGGAAGCAGGGGACCCAGGCTTCCCAACTCCCTGCTGAGGCTTCTTCTCATGGCTGCATCATGGGAGATGCAACCTCATGCCCCATGCCTCAACGAAGCAACAACTGTGCACATGGGAGGAGGTAACCGTAGGGAATTGGCTTGACCAAGGGATGGTACAGCTCAAAGGGTCCAGTGTTTCTCAAAAGCCTTAGAGAAATTCCAGGGTGAACTCATGGGGCCTCGCAGAGGAGCTAGAGGAGGCCTTGGTGATGCTGGGCAGGGGCGGAAGGGGGTTTAAATCCCAAAGGGATGTGATTGGTTCCTGAGGTTGAGATGTCAAGGGGTTTCTGGCCTCAGGGGCTCACAGGCCTGCCTGTTCTCTTTACTCAGTGAGTCTCATTCCCTCTTTTGTGGAAAAGCGCTCTTGGTCCCAGGGGATCGGAGTGGCAGGAGCGGTAGGTGTATGTGTCCCCAAGCAGGTGGCATCAGGGTTACAGCTTGCGAGCCTGGCGAAAACATCTCTTCCTCACAGTTGCATAGAAAGCTCAGGAAAGGGTTCTGATTGGTTGGCTTAAGTGATGTGCCTGTGGCTGAGCCAATCACCTGGTCAAGAGGTGTGGCCCTGTGATCATTCCTGCCCACCTCTGTGGCCTAGGGGAGCAGGTGCTGTGCTTGGTAGCCCCTCTCAAGCCACATGGGGGAAGGTGAAGACATTTCCCTGGGGAAGAGGGAAAGGTGTGCAGGGCACACCAAGAGCACACCTGCCCTTTTAAACTGGAATCCAACCAATTAACTGGTCTAATTGGTTAGACCCTTGGTTAGCGATGTGACTTTGGGCCTCAGTGTTCTTATCTATGAAAAGGGCATAATAATGGTAGGCTGTAGCAAGACTCGAGTGAAGTGTCAGTGAAAAAGCTTTGGCGCCATGCTAGATGGTGGTGAGGGGTGTCCTGGCTGTTGCCCCCACCCCTCTCCCCCCTCCCCCAGGCTCACTCCCCTCCTCTCCCTCTAGAGGCTGGTCCAGTTCTGGTTTGCCACTGGGGGTGCTGGCTTCTGCATCAGCCGGAAACTGGCTTTGAAGATGGCCCCATGGGCCAGGTAAGCAGAGACCCCCAGGTGGGCGGGGGAGGGTGGGGGCTGCTGAGAGCAGGTGGCGCTTGGTGTATGCATGGGGACTTTCCAGCAGGAAGGTCTTAAGCGACAGTCCAGGTCACACCGCATGCAGGAGGCTCTGTTCTGCCAGCTGGTCCCAGGAGAGCCTTCTGGGAGGCAGGGTGGGCTCTAGGTGTTGAGGGTCCAGGCCAGTGGCCATAGCACGGCTCTACCCCTCAGCGGCCCCCGCTTCGTGGACACATCTGCGCTCATCCGGCTCCCTGACGACTGCACTGTGGGCTACATAATTGAGTGCAAGCTGGGTGGCCACCTGCAGCCCAGCCCCCTCTTCCACTCCCACCTGGAGACCCTGCAGCTGCTGGGGGCTGCCCAGCTCCTGGAGCAGGTGAGCGGCCCCAGGGCACGTGGCAGTAGGGAGGTGCTTATGTTTTGGGCTGTCCCCCTATTGACAGGGAAACTGAGGCCCAGGGTGGCAGAGGACCCCTTAAGGCAGCCGTTCTCAACCTGTGGGTCGCGACCCCTTTGGGAGTCGAACGACCCTTTCACAGGGGTCGCCTAAGACCATCGGAAAACACATATATAATTACATATTGTTTTTGTGATTCATCACTATGCTTTAATTATGTTCAGTTTGAAACAATGAGAATACATCCTGCCTATCAGATATTTACATGACGATTCATAACAGTAGCAAAATTACAGTTATGAAGTAGCAACGAAAATAATTTTATGGTTGGGGGTCACCACAACGTGAGGAACCGTATTAAATGGTCGCGGCATTAGGAAGGTTGAGAACCGCTGCTTTAAGGACATACCGTGACTCTCCGCCTTCAGACCTCCAGGGGTGTGAGGCTAAAATTCTCTGAACTGGTCCCCAAGTGCCAGCGGGAAGGACCTGCCCAGATGAGACGAAGCTTGTCTTCAGGTTCAGATAACCTTGCTCCCGACCCACTGCCTCCTGTCCCTCTCCTTTCTTCAACCTGCCGTCCTCCCCACATCCCTCCGAAGGGACCAGCCCTGCCCTTCCAGCTTTGCCCTTTGTCAGCGGTCCCTCCCTCCCTTCCTCAGAGCTTACCTGTCCGTCCACTGCTCGCTGCTTTTCCTTCTAACCCAGACGTCACTGGGAAGGGCCGGTCTTCGGTGAGGACACTGAAGCATGAAGTCAGGCTCGGGGAGGGGTCACGGCCACTGAGGTCCCACTGGCTCGGCCTTGCGGATGCTCTTCTCCAGCTCAAAGGCTCCAGCCCTGTAGGTGGTCCTGGCTGGGGGGCCCCTGGCATCTTCCGCCCAACAGTGCGAGGCAGAGCCCTTTCGGCAGCCAGTGCTAGCAAAGCAGCAGGGACTGGGTAAACAACAGGACGGTTATGGGCCCGCGTGCCTGCGAAGCTGAGGACTTGGCTGGACTCGCTGGCCCTGGCTGGGCCTGGCTCTAGGGGTCTGTCCCCTTGTTCACCTGCCTTCCCCCACGCTGGCCCACTTCTCAGGCAGGTCGCCCCCTTGCTGGCACGCTGGCAGCCCGGGTCTCTCTCCCCCGGAGGAGGAGGGTGCCTCCTTCTGCAGATCCCAAGGCTGCGCTCACTGGTCAGGCGGCCCGCTTGGGTCCTGTGACGGGTCTCCTGTCGGTGCCCAGAGTTAGTGTAGGTCACTAGGCCTGGAGCTGGCTGTGGGGTTGGTCCCATTAGCACCTCAGGGCCTGAAGCCAGGAAAGGGGGGCAGATTTGAGTCAACCAAACCGGGGCACCCGAATGGGGTAACCAGGGCACCCGAATGGGCTTTCCAGAGCACTCACTATACCAGGCACCACACTGGGGCCTTATCTTCTTTGACTCCCTGGTTTCTCACAACACGCACAGGAGGTTGGTGCTAACATTTCCATTCCACAGATGGAGAAACTGAGGCCCAGAGAGCGGAACTAGCCATGGCCACAATAGTACATGGCAGAGGGGGATTTGAGCCCTGGTGGGTGGCCCCTAAGCTGACAGTCGATAGCCACTGCTCTTGACAGCCTTGGACTGGGGTCGTGATCCCGAGTCCCTGCTGCTGGCGGAGAACGGGAGGCTCTGGGGTGTGGAGGGGATCTGCTAGGGCCCCACAGTGAGCCTCGGGAAACCTCCACCCGGCACACAGCGTACTGGAAAGATGCCTTTCCTCTCCGGCCTCAGTTTCCCAACCTGTGGATGAGGGAATCGTTGCAGCCTCCTAGTGAGCTGGACTGCTGGGGCTGCCATGGGATTTGGGCCTGAAGGTGCGCTTCACACTTACAGTGCTGGCGGGGGGCTCCTCAGTGACGCACCCTCCGCTAATGGGGTTTCAGGCGCAGAGGCAGGCTCTCTGAGCCCTCAAAATGCCTCCTCTGCTTTCCTGCTTCCCCCCAATTCTGCCTCCTTGTGGCGTCCCCATGAAACACCCCTCAAACCTCCCTCGTCTTCTCTGCTTCTCCCTGCCCAGGTCACCCTTAGCTACGGCGTCTTTGAGGGGAAGCTCAACGTCATTAAGCTGCAGGGCCCGTTCTCCCCCAAGGAGGACCCCTCCAGGTGGGTCTGGGGCTGAAACTGTCGAGTGGGAGGAATGGGGCTGAGCCCAGGCACCCAAAGGTGGGCGAACCAGGAGGGAGGGCTGTGAGAGAGGCCCTTGGGCTGACAGCACAGAGCTGGGAGTGAAGGGCATGATGTTAGTCCCTGCTCCACCGCTGGCTTGCTGTGTGATCTTGGGCAAGTGCCTTGCCCTCTCTGGGCCATAATCTCCCCATTTTGTAACCCCAGGAGGCTGGGTGCTGTGGATCTGGAGGCCCTCCCAGCCCCGGTCCTCTGGGATATGGGAATGTCTTCACTGAGCAAGGACCTGCTCCCATGAAGGACCTGCAGGCCCCGCTGGGGAATTGTTATTTGATCTTTGTCGGCTCTTTGTTTCCTTGATTCTCTTCAGTGGCTCTTTTCTGTGGGTAGAAGATTGGAATGGGGGCTGAGATGTCACCCGGGCACCTTCCGGTTCTGCCCTAAACTGGCCCCAGGTTGATTGGGGCTGCTCAGCCCAGCCCCTGGCTGCTGTGGAGCAGCTCAGAGCACAGCCTGTGACCCACGGTGGCAGGAGGGACGAGACCTGCTCCAGGAGGTAGAGGAAGGTAGTGGGACTGGAATGTGGGACAAGAGAGGAGGGTGGTGCCGATTCTTCTCCCCACAGGCCTTGGGTCTGAACTTTGGATTTATCTGAAGTATGTAACCCATGGGGGACCAGGCCTCCTGGCTCTGAAGCTCTGCCCAGCTGTCTGTCGGGGGGGCGGGGGGGAAAGCAGGGGGGGGGTGGGGTGGGGGGCAGAAGACATAACTATTCCAAGGGCTGGGGGCCAGGGGGTTTCTTTTAATGGGGTGAGCTCCCCATCAGTGGAGGTGTGCAAACTGTGGCTGTGCTGCCAGGAGGTTTAATAAATTGCTGTTACGTTCTCTAAGCCCGAAGATTCTAGGGTCCATGGGTTTCTGCTGAGGGGCTGGAGCCGACTGGGACTAGGCTATGCAGGGTTGGAAGGCCCCGGCTCAGCTGGGCCTCCTATGGCTCCTCTGGCCTTAGAGGCGTCCCTGAGGCAGCGGTTCTCAGCCAGGGCCCTGAGGACACCTGGCCAAGCCTGGAGGCATGCTGAGTGTTACCACCTGGGGCAGTGATGGCGAACCTTTCGAGCTCAGCGTGTCAGCATTTTGAAAAACTCTAACTTAACTCTGGTGCCAGGTCACACATAGAAATTTTTTGATATTTGCAACCATAGTAAAACAAAGACTTATTATTTTTGATATTTATTTTATGTATTTAAATGCCATTTAACAAAGAAAAATCAACCAAAAAAATGAGTTCGCCATCACTGACGTAGGGAGATGCTAATGACATGTAGTGAGCAGAGTCCAGGGGACGTGGCTAAACATCCCGCAACGGACAGGACAGCCCCACAACGAAGAACTCACAGTCCCAAATGTGGATAGTGCTGAGGCAGAGAAACCCCGCTCCAATCCGTCCTTGTGATGTGCGCGCCCCCCCGCCCCCGGCCCCAGGGCCTGCGGGGTAAGGGTAGGAGTGGGGTGACGCCTTGTCCGTTTCTGGTCTCTCCTTAGGTTCCGCTCCCTGCATTGTCTCCTCTACCCCGACACTCCCTGGTGCCCCCAGCTGGTGGCCCGATGAGCCCGGAACTGCCGGGTGACTGTGGAGCTGAGGCCTATGGTTGTCCCTCGCCTCCCAAGGCAGCCCGAGGGCCTGCGGCAGTGCCCGGGGTGGGCAGTCCCCGGCAGGGCTCCCGAGTGGTGGGCAAGCCCAGGATCGGATGGTGACTGGTGGTGAAGGCATCCCAGGCTCGGAGACGAGGGTCTGATGGACCGGGAACCGGGTGGAGTCAGAGAGGCCCCAGGGGCTGGGCTCCCACGGGCCCTGGGTGGCTGAATTGAACAGGGGCTTCTGGGTGGGGGGTGGTCCCAGCCCAGCTCTGGTCTCTGTCACTCCCTGGGGTCAAGCACTGGGCCCGCCACTCACTCCTGGGTCCCTGGGCCTGATCCGCAACCGCTGGGCACTGGGGGAAAGGCGGCGAGGGCAAGGTCTGTGGCAGGTGCTGTGGTTGCTGTCCATCTCCAGCTCCTTGCCCCTCACCCTGGCTAACAGGCCCCGGTTTTGTTTGGAGGGTCAGCCTGCCCGAAGCCGACGATGGATCATCATGGGTCCCAGCCAAGCTTGACGAGCCTTTTGCTCACTCTCTCAGCTCCCCGTGCTGTTAGGCGCTTCCATGTGCCCAGCTCTGCTGCAGTCAGAGCTCTGTCCCTTCCTGTGAACTGAGCAAAGCCAAGGGGGAGGAGTCGGGGAAAGTGTTGCCGCCCCGCCCTCGCTCTTCCTGCTGTGGATGTGGGTGTGATGTCTGGTTCTGGGCGGCCACTTTGTGACCATGAAGGAGAGGCCAGGACAACCCTCCGCACCTGTCTTGTCTAGCATCCGGTTCTGTGAGAAAAGTAAACCCTGTCTGTTCAAGTCTCTCTTGGCCCAGGTTTTTGTTACACGCGGCTGACATGTCCCCGAGGGGGCGGGTCTTTGGTCTGCCTGTCACAGTGGCGTTGACTTGGGTCCCGAGCGGTCCATCCTTGCTCTGCCCTCGCTGGGCAGCCTTGGGGAATCCACTAGGTCTCTCTGGCCTGTTTGCCCAGATGTTCCTGTTCTAGTAGATGAGAAAGGGAATACCTTCTTCCCGGGATGGTGTCTGGATGGAACGATGCAGTGTCGGGCACGGCCCAGAGCCCGGCACAGAGAACAGCGACTGCTGTTAGTGTGTGTGAGTCATGGTGTGACAGGTGTGTGTGCGGCACGTACTCTTTCTTCTACACATGTCCGTGCTAAGACGTGTGCTCCGGTCACACATGTGTACATGTACATGTGTGTGAGTATGTGTGTGCCAGGAGGTGCTGGTATGCGGGAGCTACTCCTCCTTCCCTCTGCCCTCAGGCCTGGGTTGGGGGAGGCCAGGGAATAAGGGAATCAGGGAATCGGAAGGCAGAGTGGAGACTTGGAGCTGAAGGATTCAGCCTCTGGTGTTAGATAAAGTGGGGGGAGGGGGGCGTGACAGCCAAGGTGGGAGCTGAATAAATGCAAGTGCCCTGAGAATGTCGGTCCCAAAGCGGTTGGATGAATGAATGAAGTGACTGTGGGAAATGCTGGCCGGTGGTGCTCGGCTGGGGCGGGTTAGGGATGGGAGGTGCCTTCTCCCACCCACATCACGCCCAGTGATGCGGGGAGTCAGGGTCACAGTGGGGCTCTGGGCTGGGGGAGGAGGGAAGAGGGAGGAGAGGGCCTAAGGGGTGGGGGCTCCTGTGGACACACCGTCCAGCCCTTGAAGGACTGGTCCCTGCAGCTCCCCTGTCTGGGACCCCTGAGCCCCAGCGCCTCAGCCCTGTTTTCCAGGGGGAGCCTGAGCCCCAGCGAGGGGCCACTGTGTGCCCGGGGTCACACAGCAGGTCAGGTGCTGAGCCAGAGGGCTGGGCTCTTCCAAGCCTTCTGTCTCCCTGGGCTGCGTCTGTGGGATGTGAGCCAGGAGGAGTGGCCTGGTGGGGGGAGGGTGGGGGGTGGGGTGGGGTGGTGTGTGCTCCAGAGCCACGGTCCTGTCTGGTCCTCTCCGTGCTGCACGTGGAAGGCCCTGCTTAGGGAAGCAGCATCAGACTCGCAGGCTGTTCCCAAATTCTGAGGGTCGCGTGGAGGGCACAGGCCATCTGCTGCCTCCATTGTCCCAAAATAGCTGGGGGTGGGGGTGGGGGGGTGGGCAGAGTCAGCAAGGATCAGAATTGGGATGGAGGAAGGAGGCTGGGTTTAACCCTGTGTGTGTCTGGATGGGAGAGCATGCAGCCGCCTGTACTCTGTGCTGAGGTGACCCTCGTGGGCCCGTGGGCAGGCGCTGGGAGTAGGGGAAGGTTGAACTACCCCATCTTGGCCTTGCTGTGCCCCTGGGGCACATGTCGCTCCCATTTCGCAGGTTAGGAAACTGAGGCACAGAGAGGGAGAAGCCCTTGGTCCAGGTCACAGGGCTATGGGTGCCAGAGCCGACTTGAGGCACCTGGCCCTGCCGGGGTCACCTCCGCGTGGGGCGGCTCTGGAGGTCAGGACCCTCTCCGGGCCCGGCTCCACCTCCGCCGGTCTCCCCTGTGACACAGGCGCCATGACTTCGACACAGCGTGCTGTGTGGTCTCTGGAGGCTGCACAGGAAGCTCCTGGCGCAGGTAGCGTCTTAAGAAGCACCACCTCCCTGCCCTCTCTGAGCTCAGCGTTCTCGGCTGTAAAAGGGGGTGAAAGGGGTGCTGGGCTGGCCTCCCTCTCCACTCTGCCACCCAGGTCCCAGCCCTTGTCAGTCCCACCTGCACAGAAGCCTCCTTGCTGGTCTCCCCACTGCACAGGCCCTGGCACACTGGCCTCCCCGCCCCCCCCATTTCTCCTGGTGGGTGCCCAGGCCCTCTCCCTGGAGGGCACCCCCATCTCTGCATGGCTGGATCGGGCTCCAGTGTCCTCTCCTCGGGAGGCTCTCCCTGGCCGCCATGACACGGTGGCCACCTCACTCCACGGTGGCGCTCTGCAGAGCTCTGACCCTCGCAGACACGTCTCCTGGTGCGTCCGCTTGCTCACGTACTGGTTGTCTGCTCCCATCCGACCGACGGCTCCATGATCCCAGGGAGCGTGTTGGTCCCGGTCCCTGCAGCTCGCTGCCTGGCGTGCGGTAGGTGCTCCACAAATCCTGTGGGAAGAGTGGAAAGCGAGCGAGTGGGTTCCTCAGATCTCTCCCAGGTCTGCGGGTGCTTTAAGACTCCGTGAAAGGCGGCAGGGGGCTTCCTAATGGGGAGATCAGGCTGGTGACACTGGTCATCCTTCGGACAACCCCAAAAGGGACATCTGACTCTAAGTGCTCCTGGTAGATGCAGTAGGAGGGGCACAGCTCCGCCCAGGACGTCTGCTTATCAAAGTAATCGACCCTTCACAGAGCCGCTCTCCGATCGAAATGCCCATTTCCTGGAACGGGGAGCAGTGGGACATGCTGAGTGACACCGTGAGGGTTCAGCCCACCCAGCCAACAACCAGGGCAAAGCCCCTCGTTTCCTCAACACGTCAAAGGGCATAAAACAGGAGGAGAGGGACTAAGAGAGAGCTGAGAGATCGGAAGAGATCGAGAGTCATGACAACAAAATACAATATATGGGCCTTGGTGAGGTCCTGGTTAAATAAATGGATCCTGAAAAGACATTTTTTGAGGAAAATGAGACTATTTGAACATGGACTTTATTCGATTGGGATTCAGAAATAGCTTTATTAGGTGTGATAACAATATGGAGGTTTGTCTTGACGTCGTAACACATGAGAGACACCTTTGGGAATGTTTATAAGTAAAATGATAAAACAGCTGGAATCTTTTTTAACAAGGTGCCCGGGGGGAGAACGAAATGAGAATGGCAACACGGGGATGGTTGTTGGAGCTGGTGATGGGCACACGGGGTTCATTATGTTATTCTTTTTACCTTGGTGGGTGCTTGGAAACTGCCGTAATGGAAAGCAAACCGCGGTAGAGAGGGCCTGTGGATGTTGCGTTTCTCTGGGAGGCTCTCCCCCTTCCCGTTCTCTTTCCCCTGCCCCCTCCTCCATGCCCCACATTCAAGCCCGGAGAACATCTATTTTCATCAGAAACAGCTGCCCGGACTCCACTTCCTGTTCTCCCCAAACGCCAGAGAAAGGAGAGGCTGACCTTGACCCTGCTGATTTGCATTTGGCCGGTGGCCTGCCCCCCCCCCCCCGCCCCCCGCAGGCCACCCTGATTTCTTTTGGTTCTGAGCACTGGTCCCAGCTGCTTTGTAACTCACAGCACTTTCCTCGGCACAGTCATTGGACACATTCCTCCAGCCACTTACCACTTTCCCCAGCCAGCCAGCCAGTAAGAATTCACTGCTCACCTTGGGGTGGGATGGGGGGATGTCCCTGGTTAGAGGCGACACAGGGGACTCAGGTGCAAGCCCTACCCTCAACAGGGAGCTCAAATCCCCGTTGGGACAGCATAGCATGTCCTTGGTAACATGCAACCACGGGGCACGAGGAGGGAGGACTAACATCTGGGGGTCTGCAGGGCAGCAGCGGCCAAGAAGCCTCGATGTGGGAAGTGATGTTGGATCTGGAGCTTGATCCACGAGGAGGTGAGAAGGAGCAGAATGCATCCCATGCTGCCTTGCAGAGAGGCCTGTGGAGACCCTAGGGCAGGGGAGGGCAACCCCTGGCACGCGTGCCAAACATGGCACGCCAGTAACTTTTGCTGGCACATGAAACCCTCTCTTATAATCTTCCATTTACAATTTTTTTCTTAATATCAACTTTTTTATTTTTCAGATAAATTCAGTGTAGGTGCATCTTAGATAAATAAATAATTTTACATAACAAGTTATCTTAAAGACCATAGACATGGATTGATGAGAGAGGGGAAGAGCAATTTCTATGCCTCTGCCCTAACTCTCCCTGCCTTCCTAGATCCAACCAGTGTTTTGGTTTCATCCACATACGCTTGTGAATCTTTGTTCTCAGTGATGAATTTTGTTAAGTCTCGTAATAGGAGTAGCCTGACGGATGAAAGTAGTAGCTCGTGCATATCTCTGAAGGTCACGAAATATAAACCTGATGTAAAATCTCTGTCATCAGCGATGCAGCAGCAAAAGTCCCACTGATAATATCAAACGGAGTCATAAAGTTTTCTGTCGGACTGTCAGTGTACATGTATACATTAAAAAAAAATGTATTTTTCATCATATACTGTGTTTTTGTCACTCGAATGAATTTTATTATTTCTTCAAGGTTCTTCACATACGTACACCTGAAGAGATATCAAGTAGGTGTAACATGTTCTCAAAAAATTAGGGTTGGCACGCAGAAGAATTTTGAGTCAGAGATTTTGCTGGTTTTGGCACGCACTCACAAAAAGGTTGCCCACCCCTGCCCTAGGGAAAGGTGCAAATGGTATGATCAGGAATATGACTGTTTTCATGTGCCTACTTACCTTGCAGGGTAAGTTGAAGGGTGTACCTGGCCCAGTGTCCACATAAAACATGGAGTACTTGCCCTCCTCCCCTCCCTACATGTCCCGAATGATTTTGTAAATTCCCCATGGAGCAGAGACCATGTCTGATGCATCTCTGTACCTCATAGGATCTGGCACGGTGCTGGGCACATAGCAGGCACTTCACAATGACTATGTAGGTGAGAGAGTCAGCCTTGGGCCAGAACCAAGACTCACAGGTGCTTGATAAAAACATATTCCAGAGCCCCTAAGCTCTAGATCTTCAGAACCCAAATCTCCGAAGGAGGGGCCAGGGACGCTGTATTTTTACCTGGTTCCCCAAGGTGCTCTAGTTGCTAGGTTGGAGAAAGATAGGGTTAAAGGAAATTCAGCACCACGGACAGAACCTCCGCAGCGGCCTCTGTCTGCTCTTCTTCCTGGGACTAGCTGGGGCAAGGGCATGCTACCT